TCCAGAAACCTGTTCTTACTACTCTGACTCATTATAGCAACATATTTCTTGCAAAAATATTCCAAATAAGCAACTCATCATCATGCTCCCTTCACCTGCAATTTAGGTTTCTTAGAGCTTTTAACATCCAATAAAAACCCCGGATTCATTTGACGTAAGCTCTCCCCGTCCAGATCACAAGCCTGACAAAACAACGACCTCTCCAGCTCAAGGTCAGGGGGATAATTTCCTTTTCCACTGTCCCACATGAGCTCTCTGCCATTTGCTCGGTGCCACTGCCTTCAAAGCCTGCAATGATTTCTTGGAAGCAAACATGGGTGTAATCAGCACTTGTCATGTGGAGAGTCTGGATCAGTGGTTCAACCTTCTCTCGTATGCTCTCAGCTATTAAATCTGCAGCTACACCAAATTATGAACTTCTTATAAATGTCACACACAAACAAAGTATTGATTTTTCGGAAATGTCACATAAGACCAAAGGAGAGAACAGAGAGTTTCCACCTGCACTGGGTTTCTCACTAAACAATGGTGGATTTCTGTTTTCTTTCCCCAACAGAAACATTCCCAGGAAATGTTTGCTGCAGCGTTAGGCTTTTGCTCAGGAAATATACCCGAGATGCACCTAAACATAAAAGGAAATAATTCACTGTAAGCTCATAATGCTGCTGCAGAGGAAAGTTAATCCTTCATATCACAGCTCAAGATTTTTTTTTAAGGTTATTTTCTTAATCACAAATGTGTTATGGGAGCAATGCCTTTGGTTTTACAGTTCCCTTCTGACAGATTTAGGCACAAAGCAAAAACTAAAAATGCAACGAAGCTATGTCAACAAGACCTTACAAGGTGAATTCAAACCAGCTTATGGGCTTAGTTTCTGCACTACTAACTTATTTACAGCCGTTTTATTATGTGATTTTCAGGCAAAAGTATAATTTTATTAATCAAGTAACTATGTTATGTAACATGGTTGTTATAAAAATGATACATAAAGTATGTTTATACCAAATGCTATAAAAATGCATATTTCTGACTTAATACGTTGAAATTGGGCCTCTGTCTCTTTAAACAGTTCCTGCTCATTCTGAAGCTCCGCCTACAGGAAGTCATTACAACACGGCTCCTATCTTCACTCTGAGAAGTAGCTCTATTACCAGTTCTACCAGGTGTTTGCTAACTGCTGCTGGCTAGTCTGAAGGAGCGGGGAGAGATGCAGCTCAGAGGAGGAGATGCACCTCGAAGGCGGGGCTACGTCCACCCAGGCGTTTTACACAGCTAATGACTCCTTTACATCAAGAACATACATTTCCTTTAATCCTGGAAATGTTCTCCAGCTGATGGAAAGCGGATTTTGTAACTGTCTTCATGTGGCTCTGAATGTTCAGGTCAGAGGTCAGCCTAATCTCTAGTTTCCAGATGGAATAACTGAAGCTGTGTGTTGACTATAGACCGTTCCTCTTCAATAACGTCAGTTTCAGCTCCACCCTTTGCTCCATGTAGAGAAAATAAACCCATCTGTTCTAAAGTGGCCTCTACTCCACAACACCAGTTTTCTATTTAATGGATTAAAAACCATGTTCATCATCCCTCAAGACACCAAAGCATTTAGAAGATCACATAATGTTCTGGGTGTGTCGAGTAGTTAAAAGCTGTTTCAGTATTTCGGGGTCAGTAAGAGGCCACAGTGACTCACCTGGAGAGAACACAGGTGTCACTAATAACATTAGTGTTGGCTCTTTCCTGTTCAAGTGTTCCTGTGAGCACCGACAGCGTGACTGTGACCCGCAGACCAGTGACTTTATTACTCACATCTGGGCTTCTCTTTCCATGACATGTTACAAATTTCACCTCAGGATCAAAAACATTCTTTCACCGTTTTCACTTCAGAGAAATTTGGTTAATATTTTTCCAGCAGTTTGACATGCGAGACAAAACATTAGGACTTTTCAGGATGGCAACAATTACTGAGTACTGTTACAAAGGAAAGCGTGATATAATAGAGATCTGTAGTCTACTGGCTAACGGTGGTGATGCTTGTTGACGTAAACGTCCAACATCAATACAGAGCAAGCAGGCAGCAGCGTGGAGCGGCACACAGTGAAAACCCTCGTTAAAAAGGCAGAAACAAAAACTGATTATCTGGACCCGGTTTGGGTTTAACCTGTTTCAGCGCGACGCTCAGGAAGAGTGCGGCAGATGCCACGGTCCACACCGGGATCCAACACAGGTGTCCCTTACATTAAAGTTATTGTGTTTCTACATGGAGATATATTTTCTATTTATTTATTTAGCTTTGATTTAATCAGACAGTCACTAATGAGATTATGCTGCTGCCTATCATTGCCAGATCTCCTTAAAATTTGATTTTTTAAGGGAGATCTAGCAGCATAAAACAAAAGTTACAAACATTACATAATTAAATCCACAAATGAGTATTAAACAAGTTTAACACATTTATATACATTTCACTCGATTAGTATGGGATTCTATTGCAAGTTTTACACAAATCATATCGTGATATACATCGCCACCACCCATCTCAACATTTATTGTGATTTGAATTTTGTGCCACAAAAGATGATGGGAGAAAATGTGACTGTAAAAGGAAATACTCATCAAAGCAACAGAATAAACATTTTTACAAACCAAGTCCTGATTATCCATTTAATTTCTGCTTTTTGGTTAAATATGCAACACTCAAACAAGTTGGAGTCATGTTAATAAATACGTTATATTTCCACTAAAATGTAGATTCCTTTATTAAAATAAAAATCAGAAAATGTAATTTTTCCTTACATGGTTTAAGTGTAAATCTTCAGTTTTACGATGGTTTCATGTTTATCTGTGAGGACGAATGCATGAAATGTTTCGCAGCATCTTAACAAATAACTGTATATCATACTAATAATTTAAAATTCAAACCATGTCTTTGCTCGCCGTCTCACATTTGGTAAAAGTATAATTAACCACAAAACCTCCAATTAACTCTCTGCTACTTTAAAGTGAAAGAATCGTTGGCTGAGCACATTTTTGCCAGAAGAATTTTCTTAAACACTTCTCATAAATGATTCAGCATCATTTGCTTTTAACACCAAAGGGAAGAAGAGCGAAAAGACAACAAACACGTCAGGTCAACAAAGAAACTGGATCACCCATTTGGACTGCAGACCACTTTCTGAACTTATGCAAAAGAGACGACATTTTTGTTCTATCAAAATGTTGGAGTCCTTTGAAAAAGGACTCCAACTCGCTGAATAATTTTTGCTTGGGTAATGTTGGACTGGAGATGTGAGTGAGTATAACAGAGCAGCTTCAGCCCCAGGCAGGCAGCCGGTCTCGGTCCGATTATACAGAACACAGCAAGGTGATTGTTCACCTTCATTTGTCCCTCAAAAGCATCACAACAGTGTGTGTACGCACACACACACACACACACACACACACACACACACACACACACACACACACACACACACACACACACACACACACACACACACACACACACACACACACACACACACACACACACACATAAAGCTGGAGTGAGAGAAGATGCAGTGACTAAAACCCATCAACTTTCATTTGGAGGGTTAAAAATGAGCCGTTAACATAAAACATTAGAACTGAGGCTCTAATTATAAAAGTTAATTGAGGAAAATGACGAGCTTCGCTGAGCGCACCGCGTTCCGGCTGGTAATTATTTGTGATGCGCAACACTCACTTCCGCCTCCGAGTTGTTGACTAATGCTAAGGACTAGCAGCAGAACTGGTCCAGTTTTTGGTCCGGGGGATTTAATTGATTCATGATCATATCCGGTTTTTATTGTTTGACTGAACGATGCATGGAAGGAGGCAGCAGCTGCCTGTTCATACAGGAGGCCTGCAGACTCAGTCTGCAGGTGGAGCTTTACGGACAAACCGTAAATTTCCTCCCATCCCGGTTACAACAAATGCCGGGTTACAACGGGAGATATGCCGTACATATATGGACATAGATGTACATAGATGGACATATATGGACATAGATGGACATAGATGGACATATATGGACATAGATGTACATAGATGGACATATATGGACATTGATGTACATAGATGGACATAGATGGACATAGATGGACATAGCTTGTGGATGTTTTCTGTGTGCAGCGAAGCTGTTCTTAATGCAAAAGCAAAATATGTCTTGGCAAGTGAAAGTTCATCTATTAAACTGACTGAATGATGTAAAATGTCAACTGGGCAAGACATTTGCTTTAGTTTTTCTTTTTTCTTGCTTTTACTTTTTGTCTGAAATAAAATAAATGTTGAGTTTTAAAGTAAAAACTAATTTCAGAGAGTTATAGTCACTTAAATATTGTAGCATTTTTATCTAGCCGCATTTTAATATCACTGTTTTGAGGACATTAAATATTCTCAAATGTAGCAAACTTCCATACAGATGCTGCTAACTTCAGGTTGTGTTTGTTGTGTCTGCATAAACTCAAATATTTCATCATACAGAATATAATATATTCACAAAACTTTCCTAAAATCTCTTGTTTGCACAATTTAGCTGCAATCTTTCAAAAAGCAATCCAGTTTGCGTTTATGAAAGTGGATTGATGTGAAACATTTTTAGTGCTGCATATTTGTTCAAAACTGACAAAATAAACTGACGGATGTTCAAACAATTCATAAAATGCATGGAAAAGCTAATAAACAGCGTCACCTTGACACAGCTAAAAACACAAATCTGAAAATGTCTTTCCCTGCCAACAGAAGACAATGTTTCACAGCAAAAGGTGTTCAGTACTACGACTCAGCAGCACAGACTCGTATGGCAGAGAAATAAAGAATATAAAGTCACATTTTACAGTCACCGTGTAGCAGAGGCCTAGTCAAAGCAGCATGGTGGAAAAACGCAGCGATATAACCAGAGATTGACAACCTCCCATCATAACTTTGTGCATGAGGGAGTGTCGTCTTTTAACTGACACAAAGCCTGGGCTGAAATTACTCACCGACTCACTTGTAAGTTGAAATTGTTGCCTCCAGGCTCTGCATTCATCCATCAATCCAAAGCCACATGCATGTCATTTTCCCCTTAAAGTGAAAGCGAGAAAGACAGAAAAAGTAGTAGTTAGATCCCACACTTTCCATTAAGTCTTAACATAGGAATCTTTGTGGTTTGATTTCCCACATTCATGCCCAAATTTTTATTCTCTGTGAAGAGAGAAAACTGCTCGGCAGAAAAGGTGTGGAAGCCTTCAGAGAAGAGCGAACATCAGTGTTTCTGCTGGAGTTTCAGAAGAAGTGGCCGAAGGGCCTGTGCAGAAAACCTGGAAGGAGCACTGCTTTAAAAAAAAAACTCATTTCTTTCATAACAAAAGAATCGTGAAGATTAAAATGGAAATTGACGAAGAAGCTTTAATTTTTAACAAGAGGTCTGGTGAAGTTAGAACGATGTTTTTCATGCAACACAAAGAATGTGATGAAATAAATTTGGGCTGCAGAAAGTCTTGAAATGTGAAAACTTAAAAGCAGCAGGAAAGAGCAAGAAGCTGAAAAACTGTTTGATTTCTGAATCATTTCGAAGCCGAACCCATAACCTAAAGGCCTGAATCATCAAATCAGTGCTAATCTTATGACGCTCAGTCATAACGGCGGGTTATGATTTTAGCCCGTTTTAAACTAAATTGATGTGTCATTTATTATTGGGCTAAAATTGAAATCTGATATTCTGCAAATTTGGATTTTTGGTCTTGACCTTTGATATGGAGAGACCCAAATATCCCACATTATCGCTTTTAGAAATATTGCCGCCATTTTATTTTTTAAACTAGTTTTTCTATTCTCGTCTTGGACAAAATCTTTAGTTTTGACTTATGACAACTAGAACTTTACACATCTTAAAGCTGGGCTTCATCAATATGTGATCAATGTATTTAAAAACTTGAGTCCATTTCATAACTTCAGGGAAAAGCGCCATCAAAATAAATAAAAACAGATAAAAAGAACAAGCAGCAGATGTCTTTCTGGACATTGATGGCAGTGCAGCAGAATGGGCCATAAAAACGGCCGTTTGGACGTAAAAACTATGTAATTAGATAAAAAATAAAACCAGCAGATCAGCCTGAAGGAGCAGCAAGAGGCCGCAGTGGCAGCCAAAAACTCAATGCACACTTAATACAGACTTTATGCCACTTCTAACAGCTTGAAAATGATTAAAACAAAACAATATGCTAATAAAACTTCAACAACCACACAACACCAAGAAAGACAACAGGACATTAAACACGTTTCACTTACAGGACAATGGCTCATCAAGTCCTGGAATGGCTTGATGAGCCTTTGTCATCACAGCCTCCACTTCATGCCAGATCACCAGTTCTAACCAAACACAGCTTGAAAACTTTGTTAGCAAAGTTCATTAAACCAGGGTTTCATCAGGTCGTCGGTGTTTCCAGCCCAAAGCTGGAGTTTAATTAGACGTTATTCAGAAAACCTGCAGAGCAGGAAGCAGGTTGAACACAAAATGACCCAAACACCACAGCATGTTCTTCAGGAGGAACAGGAAGTTGGAAAAGTAACAGGAAGTCAGAACAAGACAATAAATCACCATTTGGATTTAGAAATTTTCTTACAATATTCCCAAACCAAGTATCTGATCTTTTCACGTGTCTCTGAAGGTCATCCAGACTCGACAAACGTCACTATTCTGCGCCATTGTTAGCATCTATGTTTACTGCCAAGTACACTCAAGTACACTTGGCGCTTCTTCTTCTTCTTTTTAATGGCGGTTAGCAAAACAATCTCAACGTGGGACGTTATTGCGCCCCCTACTGCGCATGCGGGACACTTTCAGGTGGTTTGCAGTTCACGCTGGAGATCAAATAGGTCACATATATTTGGAAATGTGAACGATTGAATTAAAAATCACTTGAGGCTGCAGTGTGAATGTAACCTCACTATCACAGGAAAAGCATTGATACACTTAAACTTTTTTCTTTAAACCACAAATATTGGTAATAAATGCTGGACTGCAAAACTCCCTGGTGTCTGAAAGCGTCGCCTGTTTACAGCTGCTGTCGGCTCCAGATCAGGAGGTTTTACTGCTAATCGGCTTCATCATGTGGCAAGGAATGCTGATCCAGTGTCTGCTCTTCCTCATCAAGAGTTGCAAACACTTAAATATATTATATTAAAAAAGAAAACATTTGTCAGTGTCCCTGTGTGAACATCCAATGTTCCTGGGTTTTGTAGCTTTTGAGGCTCTAACTGATGAGAAATGTCTGGTAAAAACATTTCCCCTCTTTGCTTCCTCTCTCATACTAATGTACCTCGCTGGGCACTAATGGTGGTTTAATTCAAAAGACATAATGAGCCACATTAGAGTGGGGGGAAAATGCAGTAAGACTTTAAAATTTCTCTTCAGGTTTCACCTTTATAAGGGTGATGAGAGAGAACTGATGAGCAGCCAGGATCTTTCTGCACCAGGTTTCTGAATTTCAGTTGCAAAAACTTTTTAATTTGAACTCATCCTGGATGTATGTCAGCAATATTTCATATTCCAAATAAAGTGGAATGAGGGTTTAATCCTGTACAAGTGGGACGGTTTCCCACAGTGGACTTTAAATGAAGTGCAGGATCAAAGTCCCGGCTGCAGCTCAGAGACACCGGGGGAGATTGGACCTTTCGTTGCCTTGTCTCCTTCTCTTGTCTCCTTTCCTCTATTCCTAGACTTGCTGAGGGTTTAGTCTCTACTTTCCCCCCGTCTCATCAGTTGTGATCTCTCCGTCTTTAATCTGCTGGTTTGCAGTCTGGTTTGCATCCTTCCCTCCTCTCTAGTTCAAAAGAGCGGCCTCCCACTAAGCACCCCCATCACCGCTCTCACCCATTTCTTTGCAGCTTCTCCCCAGTTTGCTCAGTGGGGGTGTTGCATAGATCTGAAAGATCTCCGTCTCTCGTTTTCAGTTTTTATTACTTCACTCGTTCTAAGATTCCCTCTCTTCAGGCTCGCTGCTCCTCATCGGTCTTCAATCTCAGATCTGTGATCTGTAAAGTTGCACACAAGCATTTGTTTAACATGATAGTTTTGAATATCAACTATTTCACACTGCACATCTTCCATGAACACTCGTGAAGACAAAAGGGTCCAAAGCACGCTTACATGAGTTCCAACACTGTTGAGTTGAAAAGGATTCAGTTAATCCATCTCAGTGGGATTTCTGAGAGGCTGGAAGTCAGGCGCTGAGTGAGGCAGCAACGAAATGTTCATTTTACGTACAGAAAATGGGCTTAAAGATGAGATGTGGAGATGACAGGCAATCTGTGCGACCAGCTGGCAGCAGGATGTGAGGTGGAAACACACTGAGGAGGTGAATGCATTATTGAAGTTGTGTCAATTAACACTTTTTGGATGAGAGTGCACAAAGTTTGACTACATCTGAGATCAACACAAATTCAGCAGAGAAAAGCGAGTTAGGCATGTTTTCTAAAGAGTGATTAAGCAGACAGAGTGAATCAGGAGAGTCAAACTTAGAAATCTGAATGCTCTTAAAGGGCCAGTTGATAAAACCCATTTAGCTGTTAAAATATTAATAAATAGCTGTCCATCCAGATCTTTTTACTGTTTTTGTAAAATCACATATTTTGTGATGCTAATTTAGAAAGATTTGTAAGAAATTTTTATATTTGCGCTAATGTATAATATTAAATCTGACTTTTTATCACGGCCTAAAACTGAAGCAGCAGTCAATCAAACTCAATGTTTTGGACCAATTTTAAGAAAATCTGCAGTAAAATCAGAAAAATGTGGGAATCTGGTGATTTTGTGTGAATTTGGAGGATTTGAAAAAAATTGGAAGAACTTATTCATGTACTCTGGAGTCTAAAGGGCCACATAAAAAGCTACGGCGGACCAGATTTGGCCCCCGGGCCTTGAGTTTGACACATGTGGAGTAAATAAAAAAAAGAGGGACAAAGTAAATGTTAGCAAAAGTGCTTCATCCAGCAAAGAGACAGTTAAACATAGAGAATTCAGCTTCCGGGTCAGAATTATGGAAAATGTAATACAAGAAATGAGGAGTTTCCCAATTTCTTCATCCACTTTTGGAAGATATGCTAAAACCTGAAGATGTTCTCTGTTACATTTCAGTAGGGTGGAAACCGATCCTTAAGCTTTCAACAGGGCTTTTCTTTTCCACAGCTCAGAATCAGACTCAACCTGTTGCCAACACACAGACAGAGTCACTTCTGGAGTGAACCTCTGCCAGCCTTACTTAAAAAAAGATGTGACCTGCAGCTTACCTCTCGCTCCGCAGCAGCAGTGTTTGTGGAAAAACACAGAACTTCAGGCCATTTCTCACTTTTTCTCTATCTCTCAAAGCCTTGCAAGAGTTTTCAGACTTGGTGTTGGGGCTGAAGTTAAAACTGGGTTCAAGGAAATGTCACTGAGTAACGTGGCTCAAGAAAGTCTATTTGTAGAAACATACAGTCAAGTATGTTTCAGGGTTCATTTGGATGCGTCATTCTGCGGGTCCAGGCTAACGATGAACACTTCAGCGTCTTCTGCAGTTAAGAGAGACATCATACACTTAGCAACCACTTCTATCCCACAGAGAATGACAATATATGACACTAATTTGTACCCACAAATGTTTGCACACAACCATTAGAGGGAATCACCACACATATGTGACCAACCATTAAAACTGACAATCAAATCCTAGCATGGAGCGGCAGGAGAACCGAGATTCATCAGCAAGCAGAATGAGGGGAGGCTTTAAGAGGGCAAAGAGAAAGGAGGAAGATGCAATCACCTCCTCCGCAAAGCCGGGTTTGCATTGTTCCAGCACAGACAACGTGTTGGTAATTTGCACCTTAATAGGATGGCCAACCTCTGGGGCGAAACATGCTCTTCAAATAGTCCTCTTTCACAAATCTTGCCTAAAGCCTGAGGGCATGAGCACAGAGAGGTTGAGCTGCTCCACATGCAGCGTCTGTGGAAAAGCAGCACTGCCCCCTAATGGCTATCTGTGGGAGAGCAGGAGAGGAACTTTGTTATCAAAATGATTATTTTTTAATCTTTAGCTCATAAAATATAAATATATTATATGCATAAAATTATACCATAAGAGAACATAAAAAGATATCGTATAGTGTTCTAATTCTTGATGAAATCTGAGTATTGTAATAAAATACTGAGAGGAACTTCCTGATGAGTTAAACATATATAAGTTGGGTGATTTGTGTGGAAGGTAATTCAGTGTTGGTAGACTGGGGCTGCAAGAAGCTCCTAAAAGTGTCCAAAGCAGAGCAAAGTTAATTTCACAATAGATTCATTCATTCTTTTCTGACCACTGCTGACTTGTTGTTCTCTGAACTGATTAATGTGGATAAAAAATGTAATAATTATGTCGCCTCATGACAGATCATGAAGCTGACAACTGAATGTCACAAAAAGGTCAAGTATTTGTGAACAGAAAGACTTAAAGGATCACCTGAAGTCCTTGGAGCTTCGGGTTGCAGTCGGTGGGTTGCCTGTTATTTATCTGCAGACGTTACAGAGGAGATTCAAGGACGCTGACCTCTACCCTTTATAAGCAGAGGGAAACCTTGAGGACTCGTGACAAATGGCTGGAAAGACTCTGAAACGTGTCACTGCAACGTTTGACGACCAGTGAAATGGTGCAGCAAGGACAGGGAGCAGGAAGCAGTGCATGTCTCTAGTGACACACATTCACATTTTTCTTAAAATTGAAGATGATATGGTGATTTAAAATGCCTAACATTAAACATCTAATGTGAGGCTACAAATATGAATATATTCTGATCTAAAAATGCTTCTTTTGCCAATATTTCTGACTTTTGTTTCCCTCCTGCCATTAAATTGACAAGCAAAGCAGCAGTGAATTAATCAATGTCAATTTAAAGAAACAACCTTCTGCTGTGAGACCTTGTTGACATTTGCAGCTGGAAATCTCAGTCAACTAATGAACCTGAATCCACATTCCTCTTTTTATGGAACGGGAATAAAAAGTAAGTCTTTTCACTCACGTCTGTATTTCTAAAGCGTTTTTTCTTCTAAGCTCATGGAGCCGGTAGAGGACGTTTTAAAGATCTGTTGCTAGCAGCTCAAGGCAACCGTGACGAACACGACGCAGCGTTCAGGGGTCCTTTCGCTCCCGCCACGACAATTTAGCTTACCTTAATATTTCCTGTGTTTTATTTGGGTCATTATTGTGAAACCTAGTGTGTATGATAGGCGGGTTTATCGGACAGTTATCGGTTAAATCCGGGACGACTCCGTGTTAAACAGGAAGGGCGGGAAACATTTCGGAGAGCTGCGCCGCAGGCTGAAATCGCCACAGATCTTATCAGAAATCAGTCGCGGCGATGATTATCTGTCGCGGCGATGATTATCTGCCAGCCAATCAGAGGAGAGGCGTTGGAGCCACAAGCCCCGCCTTCTGGAGAGCGGCTGCGTATGAGGCGTTTAGGGGAGATTGTAATCATTGACTTTCCAGAAGAGTTTTGGACTGAATTGGAATGAATTGTGCGATGCTGTGAGAAATCTGGGGGAGCAACTGAAAAAACAAAACCAAACCACCAAGAAGACTACTTCCGATCTTCTTCCGTTTTAAGCAACCAACAAAACTAAAGGCTACATTCACATACTGCAGCCTGAAGTGACCAAACTCCGATTTACTTTTTGATTTTTTTCCTTAATGGGACACTTACCTTCTCTCTTCGTGACGAATGTGACTCGGTCCACTTGGATATTCGGTACATATCTGATCTTTTGGAACCTGACTGCTCAGCCAGGTGGACGTCATCGATACGCGACAAACGTCAATATTCTGTGCCCTGATACACGAAAGCGGGAAGAAAAGTAACAACAATGGCGGACTGCAGTGACAACAAGATACGCTCCACCGTTAGCATCTATCTTTACTTCTGCAACGGCGGAGCAATTCTTCTTCTTCGTCTTCTTCGTGTTTTTAATGGCGGTTGGCAAAACATTGAGCTTTTGCGCCCTCTACTGCGCATGCGGGACACTTTCAGGTCGCTTACGGTTGGAAATGTGAATCTAAAATCGGGTTTGGGTCACTTAAGGCCGCAATGTGAACGTAGCCTAAGTGTTTCCGTTACAGTTTTATGGAATATATCTATTTTAATACAGCAAAACTTTTAATGGATTTTTTTTTATTATTTATGTTTCCATAAGCAAATTTATTTTCATAATTTCAGTTTGCGCAGTTCTGGTGAATGGAAACAGAGTCAAAGAGTAAAGTCTCAGCTTGCTGAAGGGTCGTAGCATATTAATCAGTATTCACTTGGCAGAGAGAAATACTAAATTTAAAACAAGACATGGCAGTTTAATGAACCATTTTGCGTTAAGATTCTTGCATACATGGCAGCAAACGCACATAAATCCAAGGGCAGATCTGCTGAGACTTTACAGGTGACGGAATATCTTTCCAAGCTGTTTTGCTTCACAAATTTTCATTTAGACAGGAATATGCTAAAAGCCATCCCCCCGTGTGTGAGCACGCGCCTCAGGAGCCAGGTTTCCGTTTTCCCACCTTCTGCTCTCCACAAAGTCACAACTTCAAAGTCAAAACAGTGGAAAGGTGAGATGCACACGCACAGTGATGTGAATGCAGGTCGCACACATTACAACACCTTGGAGTCCAATTTCCTTTTTCCCCTGAGTTTCCTCTCCTGCCACTGGGCTCCTTCACCCTGACATCCTTCAGCTCCGTCATTTCATTTGGTTTCAGATCTGAACTTTAACTTTAGTGTCTCGTCATCAGCCCGTCGTCTCCAACAAGATCATTAGTGAAACTTTTCCTCCCCACTTTCACTCAACAGTCAATTCAAACCAAAAGGAAAATATTTTAAACCTCATATACATTTATTTAAGTATTTCTTTCTTAATTACATCCCAAGTATGAAACACAATCCAGTTTTTTTTGTCCTGATCTATATCTTGAATAATACTGTATTTTTAATAAATTTCAGACCAGACAGATTAAATCTGAGTGCAAATCCAACAGAAACTCAATTTTAGGTGAATCTTGAGCGATGGCGGCTTTAAACTGGAAATCCTGGTTCATTTTATTTTATTCCACCAACTTTAAATACAATCATAAATACTTTTCTTTCTGGCAGAAATGATCAGAAATCTCTGAAATGTACTCATATCTTTTATTTTTCTCAATTTTTCACTGTAAAAACATCAACTTTAATGTGACTCTTGTGTAACGGGTATTAAGATGAAATTCTTGCTAAAATATGTTTTGTAATTACCATGTGATGAATGGTTTTTGGCGCCCCCTACTGGTTGCCTATAAATACAAAGCTAAACCGTAAATTCCACGCAGTCTGTTGAGCGCTCTACTGTGGTAAGTCACCAAATCCAGTTCTTTTCTGAATAGTCATAGTAGGTGTGCTCAAAGACTGACGTGGAGTTTTATTGCAGTATGCGGAGAGCTGATGGACCAGTAGTGGAGCTCACTGTACTAATTTGTGTTGACCATTTATTACAGGTAATTATATTATATTATTTATTAGTAAATTATTTTGTCAGTTATGTTTGTCAGTTTTTCTTCAGTTGAGTTGTCGGTTTGTCTGTTGTATTGTCGGTTTGCTGTATTTACCAGCTTGTCAGTTTGTTTGTTCCCTGTTTCAGTTAGAAGTTACTGTTAATTAGTTTATTAGTTAAATTTGATTGTTGTCTGTCTATTTTTTTTTCTTTATTTATAGGAAATAGAATAGAATGTGTTAAATTAATTTTAAAGAAGTATTAATAATCAAATATCACTATACGATCATTTGTTAGAAAAATATGTTGTTAAGCCAGATTGTAATGATTGTTTGTGACGCAGTCTGTTGAGCGCTCTACTGTGTATGCGGAGAGCTGATGGACCAGTAGTGGAGCTCACTGTACTAATTTGTGTTGACCATTTATTACAGTTGTTACAGAAAATTCAACCAACTGGCCTCCTCTGTGTGTATGACGGGACGGGCATAAAGGGGAAGCTGTTACATTGGTGCCGTGACCTTGGACTACAATCAAGCTCGTCGAACCTGTGACCGTCCTGTCTGCCACATCGGGTTTTGAATACATTTATTCACCTTGTGTATAGTTTCATGTTCACAGTAACATTTCAGGACAGTGAAAAGACGTTGCAGTACACTTAAACCTTTATGGAGCATTAGAGTAATATACTATGCAAATTGTTCTGACTTATTTTGTTTATTATTTGTTTATTCCAAATTGATGATTTTATTTCCTATTGTGTTTTGGATTTTGAATATCTTTCCACTTGTTAAACTCCCTGAACAATGTCTAATCAAAGTAACCACTTTTGGTTCAGCACACCCATTAGTTTTGGAAGAGGAAGAGGTGTGCTTGCTCCCATTCCTTTTTCTGTTGATAGTCCTGCTCCTGGTGGTCTTATGCCCTCATTAGATGAAATTCCTAGTGCTAGAGTCCATAATCCTACTAGTGACAGTTCTGAATGTGTAACTGCACAGATGAAATCTGTTTTACAAGAGATAGGACATCAGCTGGCTGACAGCATCATTTCACGCATACAGCCACATATCACAGTTTCTCCCAGTTCTACAGCCACACACACTGCAGGGAGTACTGTGTGTCAGTCTGGTTGTGTATCTGATGTATCCCAGGTTCAGGTTGTCATGCAGAGAAAGGTCAAAGAACCTCCATGTTTTGCAGGTAATGGCTCAGACTCCACTACAGTGCATGATTGGGAAGATCAGATGAGAACATTCATTAGGAAAACTGATGTTAAGATTGAAGAGCAGGCTGAGGAAATCCTTATGCATCTAAGGGGAAAGGCTAAGGATGTAGTTAAGTTTGGGATTAGAAATAGTAACATTAACATCACTGCTCATCCTGACATGATTTATAGTCTCCTCAGAAAACACTTCAGCTCTTCTAAATACTCTGCTGTCCCCTTAGCTGACTTTTACTCGACCTTGCCCAAAGACCACGAAGACCCATATGACTACTGGCTGAGACTAAACAGAGCAGCTGACCTTGCTTCTGACTGCCTGAGAGAGCAGGGCAAATCATTTGAAAATCCTGAGATGGAGGTGACACGTATGTTTATTAGGAATTGTCCCTGTAAAGACCTGGCTCTCACTTTCAGATCCAAAACTATTGACAGGTGGTCAGCATGTGAAGTCCTGGAGGTGCTGAATCAGTACCATGCTGAGATGAGCTGTAAAGAAACTTTCCCAGTGCGCCACGAGAAGACAGTAGACATTAAAGTGCACAAAGCAGAAGTGGGCTATGGCTTGATCCCTACACATAACAGTCAGGAGTACCCCCAGACACATAGCGCCCAGTATGTCTCCCTGACAGATGTAATGTCGATGTTAGAGAAGGTTCTGCTACATGGAGCCTCTAATCAGCCACATGAAAGAAGGCGAATTCCACCCAGGCGACCTGTAGACAATGCAGACATAATAAATGGTTTCACTATTAAACCATGCATTATTTGCAAAGCTGACGACCACAGTGCCTTGTCACATTGCAGAGAAAATAGGCTTTGTTTCAAGTGTTATGCTCCAGGTCATTCACGCCACAACTGCCCAACTAAAAGAGCTGCCCCAGAGCATCAGGAAAACTGACTGGTCTGCACACAAGGGAGGACAGTGCAGATGAACCCAATAAGCCTCCCACTAAAAATGAGTCTCCAGAAATCCAAGATAATGCATCCTCTTTGAGTTATACAGTAGTACATTGACCTCATCCAAGAAACCGATATTCCAGGGATCCCAAAGAATAGCAGAAACTAACAACCTGTTCTACACACCTGTGTCTGTACAGAATGGCCCCACCCTCAAAGCACTATTAGACAGTGGTTCAATGGCTTGTACAATAAGTGAGTCCTCTGTTCAATCCCTTTTACAGCAGTGTCCTGATATAACGAAAGGCACAGCTGAAGACTATGTGATTATAGGCTGTGGTGGACAGCAGATTTTCCCCAAAGACATGTATGACCTTGATGTCATGGTTTATGGATGCAGGATGATAATTCCAACAATGGTTGTTCCAGGACAGACAGAACAGATGATTCTTGGCAGCAATGCAATCAAACACATTCTAACCCAACTAAAGAGCACTGACAGTTACTGGAGACTAGTTTCTTCACCCAACAATGGCCAAACACCTGACCACTGCCAATTTCTGTCACTGTTATCCAACACAGAACGTTGGAGGGGTGATTGCATTCCAGATAAAGTAGGGACAGTGAAAGTAAAAAGTTGTGTGACCCTGAAACCACAGAGTGAGCACCTTGTCTGGAGCAAGTTACCTGAGTCGGCGGTGATGTCAGCAGGCAGTACAGTGATTGTTGAGCCAACACGATCTAAAGCTGGACCAAAACACATCCTTGTTGGCAGAGTTGTCACTCCTCTTTGGGGAGATCGATGGGTACCTGTTAGGGTCATCAATCCTACAGACAGGGTTATAGTACTGAAGAGAAATGCCAAATTAGCAGATGTGTCTCCATGTATTGCAGTTGAAGACCTGCCAAAAGCTGACAAAATTGAGTGTAATGTGCAATGTATACAGAGTACAGTTGTGCAACCAAGGTCAGAGGAGGACATGATGAATACGCTGAAAGTTCTGGGTCTGCAAGACATTGACCTGAAATCATGTGAAGTGCCACTGCAGTGGAAAGACAAGCTCCTTGACCTCATTGTGCAGCATGAGTCAATCTTCTCCCGTCACAAGATGGATTGTGGAGAAGCTAAGGGGTTCGTTCACCGCATCCATCTTGTTGATGACAAGCCATTTCGTTTACCCTACAGGCGCATACCACCAAGCCAATATGAGAAACTGAGAATGACTCTGAATGAGATGGAAGAGAGAGCATTATCCAGAAGTCAAACAGCGAATATGCATCTGCACTTGTTCTGGTATGGAAACCAAATGGTGACCTCAGAGTCTGCACTGACTTCAGATGGCTCAATGCGAGAACTGTGAAAGATGCTTACCCACTACCGCATCAAGCTGATGCTTTGGCTGCCCTTGGTGGTAATGCATTCTTCTCAACAATGGACCTGACATCAGGCTTTTATAATGTCCCTCTGCACCCTGATGACAAAAAATATACAGCATTCTCGTCCCCTTTTGGATTACATGAATACAACCGCCTCCTCAAGGCCTGTGCAATAGTCCGGCTACATTCATGAGGATGATGATGTCGATATTCGGGGATGAGAACTTCACAAGCCTATTGTGCTACCTTGATGATCTGATGGTATTTGCACCTACAGAGGAAACCGCACTCCATCGCCTACAAATGGTTTTCTCCCGTCTCAAAGAACACAATCTTAAACTCGCACCCAAGAAGTGCTTCTTCCTAAGGCGGACTGTGAAGTTTCTTGGACATGTCATCAATGACCATGGTGTCCGAACAGATCCTGAGAAAGTGAAGGCCATAAATGAAGTCCAAGTCACTGACCTAATGGAGTCTGATGGAAAAACACCTTGCCCTAGCAAAATCAGGACTTATCTAGGCATGGTGATGTACTATCAAAGCTTCATTGAGGCATGTTCTGCAAAGGCAAAACCACTATTTAAGCTCACAGCTGGACTGGACGCTCAAAACAAGCACAAACAAGGTCGCAAACTTGTCAAAAAAGAGGTCATGTGAAACTGACACCTGCTGATTGGACAGATGCATGCCAGATTGCTTTTGAGACACTGAAACATGACCTCATGACAAGTGTTACTCTAGCCCATCCAGATTTCAAGGCACCATTTATTCTAGCTGTCGACGCATCCTTTGATGGGATTGGCGCTGTCCTGTCACAACTGCCACCTGGTGGAAAAGTGGCCAGACCAGTCACCTTTGCAAGTAGAACTCTTTCACGTTCCCAACTGAACTACCTGCACACCGGCTTGAATTTCTTGCCTTGAAATGGGCAGTATGTGACAAATTCAGCCATTGGTTGAAGGGCAGACACTTCACCATATGGACTGACAATAATCCATTGACCTATATCCTGACCAAACCCAGACTTGATGCGTGTGAACAGCGGTGGGTGGCAAAGCTTGCTGCATATGACTTTGACCTGAAATACATCCCTGGCCCAAAGAACATTGTTGCAGATGCCTTGAGCCGTGAGCCATTTGTCCAGTCATGTGTGGGTCATCGCCTCGTAAATGAGCCATATACCTTGCTGTTGGACCAGGTCAACAGTGTGAATGACAAACTCGTGCAGGATGTCTTCAGAGTGTCCAACAACTGTCAAGCTGTTGTAGATGATGGTGGTGAGATACCAAATGATCCAATTCAAGATACAGTTCCACTAAACACAAAAGGCTCAGTCTCAGCAGAGGAGGTTGCTGCCATCTTCAATGTTCAGTCCAGCGGAGGTGTGAGCCAAATGATGGGAACTAGTATTGACCCCAATTTTCTTCTGGATGAAAACCAGTCATCTGCATTCCCACAGAGCCAGCTTGTCAATTGGCAGGAAGCTGACGACACAATCAACAGAGCCATGTACTTTGTACGGAGACATAGAAGACCTACCAAACGTGAAAGGACTAATGAATCACAGAGCGTGATTAAGCTGCTGAAACACTGGACCAGACTCACCATACAGAATGGCATGCTGTACAAGGCAAGGAGAGATCCTCACATGAACAAGAAAATCCTCCAGTTCATAGTACCTGACTCAATGAAGCAAAAAGTTCTCCATGGTCTCCATGATGCAGCAGGTCACCAAGGCCAGCACCGTACCTTGTCTCTGGTGAGACAAAGATTTTTCTGGAGTGGCATGGGCCGTGATGTAATGAACTATGTTCGGTGCTGTCAGCGCTGCATTGTAGGAAAGACAGCGGAACCGCACAGCCGTGCACCACTCCAAAACATAGTCACTACTGAGCCTATGGAATTAGTCTGCATAGACTTTTGGACTGCTGAGCAAGGGAACAAGTCTGTGGATGTTCTAGTTGTGACTGATCATTTTTCCAAGATGGCACATGCCTTCCCCTGTAAGAATCAGACTGCCAAGGAAGTTGCTCGTCGTCTCTGGAACAACTTCTTTCTCATTTATGGGTTTCCTCGTTGTATACATTCTGACCAAGGGGCCAACTTTGAGAGCAAACTAATCAAAGAGCTTCTAGAAATGGCTGGAATACAGAAATCCCATACAACTCCCTATCACCCCATGGGGAATGGTGTTGCAGAGAGATTCAACAGGACTCTGGGAGACATGATCAGATCCCTTCCCCCTCAGCCAAAAGCAAAGTGGCCACAAATGCTGCAACTACTACCTTCTGCTATAACTGCACAGAGCATGAGACAACAGGGTTCGCACCATTCTACTTGCTATTTGGAAGGATCCCTCGTCTACCTGTTGACGTGATGTTTCAACATACCCTTACCGACAACACTGTTGTCAACCACTCAGACTTTGTTTCCCACCTAAAAAAATCTACACAAGGCTGCTCAAATTGTGCAGAAAAACAGTCTCAAGGAACAGACTCGCCATGCCAACCTGTACAACCGTAAGATCAAAGGCTCACCTCTCGTCATTGGAGACAGAGTCCTGATTGCCAACAGAGGAGTGCAAAGAAAACGCAAGATTGCAGACAAGTGGGAATCTACCCCTTATGAGGTCATATCAGTCAGGCCTGATATCAATGTCTACAGAGTTAAAGATGTCCTAACGGGCAGAGAGAGAGTTGTCCACAGAAACCTGCTACTCTCTGTTAGCTTCTTGCCATGTGAGAATGCTGAGGACCACGAATCTGACAGTACTACTGCTGCGCATGGAAGTGGTCTATGTCCAGACACACCTGATGAGCCGGAGAACAGTGACAGTGACAGTGACATTCTACCCTCAGACATGATGACAGCCCCTTCCACAGACATGTTCGCTCCTGACAAATACCTCACAGACGTTGATGCTCCTGTGACGGCTGCTCCAAACGATGACTGTTCAGACATTCCAGGCTCCTCACCTCAAATTGTTTCTACAAAGCTTGACCGTCGTATTCTTAGGGACCGTAGTTCCATCAGGCCTCCCAGACGTCTTATTTGTGAGATGAATAATCAAGAAGTAGATGAAACTTCTTTATCTGCAGTGTCTGTTAGTTCCCTAATTTTGTTTTTTTCAAATGCATTTTCAGTTTAAGTAGCAGAGTTAAAACCGTGTTAACCATAGAGGTGCTTGAGTAGTGCTTTTAGGGTCATAGGAACAGTGTTACATTTCAAAGGTGTAATGGGCACTTTTGAGTCTGTGTTTAGTTAGGAATTTGATCAACTCCTTTCTTTACATACTCCCTTTTGGCAGAGTTTTTGCACTGACAAGTATACCCACTTTCGTTCCTAGTGTTGCACTTTTTTTTCTTTTTTTGCTTTTTTCTTAGTACACCCACTTTATTTGATTGTTTTGTTTTGTTTGATCATATTTTTCATATTTAGCAGAATTTCAGGGGGTGTATGTAACGGGTATTAAGATGAAATTCTTGCTAAAATATGTTTTGTAATTACCATGTGATGAATGGTTTTTGGCGCCCCCTACTGGTTGCCTATAAATACAAAGCTAAACCGTAAATTCCACGCAGTCTGTTGAGCGCTCTACTGTGGTAAGTCACCAAATCCAGTTCTTTTCTGAATAGTCATAGTAGGTGTGCTCAAAGACTGACGTGGAGTTTTATTGCAGTATGCGGAGAGCTGATGGACCAGTAGTGGAGCTCACTGTACTAATTTGTGTTGACCATTTATTACAGGTAATTATATTATATTATTTATTAGTAAATTATTTTGTCAGTTATGTTTGTCAGTTTTTCTTCAGTTGAGTTGTCGGTTTGTCTGTTGTATTGTCGGTTTGCTGTATTTACCAGCTTGTCAGTTTGTTTGTTCCCTGTTTCAGTTAGAAGTTACTGTTAATTAGTTTATTAGTTAAATTTGATTGTTGTCTGTCTATTTTTTTTTCTTTATTTATAGGAAATAGAATAGAATGTGTTAAATTAATTTTAAAGAAGTATTAATAATCAAATATCACTATACGATCATTTGTTAGAAAAATATGTTGTTAAGCCAGATTGTAATGATTGTTTGTGACGCAGTCTGTTGAGCGCTCTACTGTGTATGCGGAGAGCTGATGGACCAGTAGTGGAGCTCACTGTACTAATTTGTGTTGACCATTTATTACAGTTGTTACAGAAAATTCAACCAACTGGCCTCCTCTGTGTGTATGACGGGACGGGCATAAAGGGGAAGCTGTTACACTTGTGATATTATGTAACCCATGTGACCGACATGACCCAATCACCTTCCCTTTAAGCCCATCCCTTTAAGTTCATTGTCATGTGTGTTTCCGGGTTGGCTGCTGCTCACTGTTGGTTGTCGCGTCCGTTGTTGATAAAACAACTTGAAGTTATAAATCGACTCATCACTCATTTAATCTAAACTCAACTTTGAAGATTTCTGGTGAGTTGTTAAATACGATCTGACTTGACGTATTGTATCTGCAATAATAGCGCCGCTAACATTCCCTCCCATTGCAATATTCGCCCATTAACAGCTGGAACACCTTCCTGAATTGAACAAGTTACCATTGCATCCACCTCCTCAGACAATCCGTTACTCGACGGTGAGTAAATAACAGTCATTTACAGTAGGCCGTTACTTTTGCTATGCTCCGCCAATTAGCATTAGCTACCAACTCGACAATCAGTGGCCACATCATTTAGTCTATTTATGAATTATTTACTTAATGACAAGTCACACTGTTTCAGCCGAATTAAAGACTACCCCTTTAATACTTAAAGGTTTCCCTTTTAACTTTAGATTTGATTATTTTTCATGATTTCTTTGTTGGTGTTGTTTTCTATGCTGGTGCAGCAATGAAGTCTGGTATCCAACATGATTTGTTGTAGCTACTTTGATCAATCACATTTTTAAATTGATTGATTTTGATTCAATATTAGTTGTTTGCAATGACTGCTAATTATGTCATTTAAGAAACTTTGAACTTGAATTATGAAGTGTACTTTTTAAAAGGATGTTTTTCCTTATTATAATGAAATTGTCAAAACATAGCAAGTATGTATTTGTTTTATATAAATGTAAAATTTATATATGAACTTAATGTGTGTTTGCTGGCCTTTTAGGTCAGGTTTTTTTTTTCTTCCGGACTCCTGCACGGATACACTGGATGACGGAAGATGGCGAGCTACCCACCCACCATCTGGTGGTAGGAAACAGAACTACACTTTCCATATAGGAACTGAACAGACTCTGAGTATCAAAAAAAGGGAAAATAACTATTCTCCCTTCATCTTTGGACCTCTTGTGGACTCTATTAGGTTTTGAAGTGTCACTGACATAAGTGTTTTGTTTGTTTTCTCTTTTCCTGTTTTTTTGAGAACTTTATTTATTTATTTTTGTTGTTTTGGTATTATCATTATCATTATTATTACTATTATTATTATTACCACTGCAATAAATAGCAGTATTAACAAACCTTTTTTGGCATCAGTTGTATTAATTATTCACCTAATCATGACTCCATGTTGTACCTACTTCTGATCTACAAACTGGTTAACACTATACCTTGCAGTCAGATCTGCGCATCAAAAGGAAGCGTTACAATTAGGTAAAAACAAAATAGCACACAAACTGGAAGAAACATTTTTTTCCCCAAAATAAATCTACAAGTGTTTGAATTTGGTTAATATCATCAATAAAATAAAGTGCAACCAGTTACTTCTGTTTATACTGGACCATCGAGCTGCACAGGGTAACTCTGGGGGAGCTGCAGAGATCAGGTGAATCGGTTCAGAGATTCACTCCAACGATCTGAGGCACAAAGGAAACTATAATCAGTCGAGTTTGGAAATAAAATCAGAGCTTTTAGTGGTTGGTCAGCCCTTATATGTGCATCCAAACACAGAGACTTCCTCTCACACGGGAAGGTCGATCAACCCGACCGACAGTAAAACTTTAATGAACAATAAAACACAGACCGACCTTGAGCGCTCTCCAGTTTGGATCAGATCAAATAAAGTGCTGAACAAAGCAGTAGATGGGCAAAAAGAAATAAAAGTGACATTAGAAGAGACTTCGCAACTTATGGAGCAGAGGTGTCAAACTCATTTTGGGCCAAATCAATGAAATGACAGCAATACATGCTCTTAAAGGGCCGGTTGTGCCAGAATGTGTCGTCAACACCTGCTAACAAAACTGTTAAAATATTAATTCCTAAAATTAGATAATATTGAAAATCTTTTCAGTCCCTCCAGGATTTTGTGATTGTTTTTGTGATTTAAAAGAAATCAAAAAGTGTTTGCAGTTCTAATTTAGGAATATTTATGCGTATTCCTCACCATATGGATTATAACTTCACATCAAGACTGAAGCAGCTGTAGAAGAAACACTGCCACCTGCAGGTGGGAGTAAGCAGTTGAATAGATCCAATGTTTTTCAGCATTTTTGCCAAAAATCTGCAATAAAATCAGAATTATGCATTAGAGTGAAAAGGTTCAGGGATTTGTTGATATTTATGTGAATAATTTGCAAGAAATAGGAGGGACTGATTGATGTAATTTGACAGTAAATAGATAAAAACTGATTTGATTGATAAAATAACATTTAGGCACAAAGTCATATTGATGTTTCAGTTTATTTGTCCTATTAGAGTCTAGAGGGCCACATAAAAGCTGCCAGGGGCCAGATTTGGCCCTCGGGTCTCGAGTTTAACACGTGTTCATTACAAGTGTTGAGATAAAAACATCAACAAATAAACATCAAATTCAGTTTGAATAAACAGAAATTAATTATTAAAATATTGCCTTCTTTTGATTGCTTGGAACAAAAACATGTAAAAGTGAAAACTGATTTTTTTTTAAAAATAATGTGCAACTTTAAATGATCGCAATATTAAATTTATAGTAACTGCAGATTTTTTAAAAAAAATCTCTTGGATTAGATTTAGTTTTCAGCTCCAATTTATTCAAAGTTCTGCTTCTGAGATCAAATTCAGCTGCAGAAACAATTTTAAAGATTATTTTAAACTTTTTAACATTCAGGGACTTTAAAACATAAACAATAACAATAAAAACACCAGCTGTCAGTTTAACATTTTATTTATAGTCCAAATTAATATCAGTAGACTCCAAGAAATAAAAGTTAATTGTTCCTTTTTTAAACATTCTTTTAAACAAAAATATAACAACTATTTACAATCACTTGTAAAAAATACATAAAAAGCATACAAGCTAAATTCATGTTTGTCTTTCTAAAAGACATAAATTACAACATCTATAGGTGAGACGAAAAGCCAACGTTTAGCTACAGACCGAGTTTATAATCTGTACAGGATTGTGCAGCTCACTCTCCACATTTAAGCTTATTGTGCATTTCTGCTGTAATGCCAGAAGACGTTTACACACACAAACACACACCCAAACACACACACACACACCCCCACACACACACGCACACACACACATACGCGCACACACACACACACACACACACACACACACATCTCTCTTATTGCGTTCCAGGAAACAAAGAAACAGACAAAGGGCTAAATTATATTCTGAGGTGAGGGAATTGTTGTTTTGCTCCTTCTATTTTCAAAGAAACACAATCATGAGTTCAGATTGTTTTTTTAGAGAGGAAACAATAAAGCTGGGGCTTTTTAATCACAAAAACACTAATTAGCATTTTGAGTTCTAAGAATGCTTGAATTAAATTAAAAAAAGAGGGGAAAAAATAAAACTTTTTTGCAATTTTTACTGAAGTAAAAATCAAGAAATTAAGTTTTCAGCTCAAAGATTGAATAATATTCTAGACACACAAAGACAAAACGTTTGTTTGATCGATTTTAAACTTTTTTTAGTGCAAATATCTTAAGAAAAAACTAACTAATAAAGCTGGGGCTTTTAAGTAACCTTTCAGCAAGATTTACTATTCTTAAAAATCAATAATTCCTCCATATTATTTCACTGATGATATAGGAAAAATATCTGTTATCAGTGAATAGAGTAGAAGATTTTCATCAATATTAAGTATTTTTTGACTTAAAACAAGCTCTTCTATTTTGCTGAACATTTACTTGTAAGTTAGTTTAATCTTATTTCAAGTTCTTTGCGATATTTGTGTTTTTGCAGTGCAGGAACAAGATCAATTGATTTCTTTATTGGTTTGAACTTTAATCCAACCTGTAATGAAACAAGCTGGATTTGGAAAATTTGGCGCCTCTTTGGAAATCAAGACGTAAAGATTCACGTTTTTGCAAAGCTAGTTCACTTATTTAGCGTTTTATTTTAGAATATTATCTATACTTTAACAGAATTTTTTCATTATTTCTCTTTCAAAAAAAATCTGAAAAACTTTGCACAAGATTCTGTAATTTCTTTAACACTGATTTTAGTAGAAGAACACAAGTAAAGAAATTGTGCAAAACGTTAAAGTGACATAAAAGACAGAATATCAAGAGCTGAGGGCCAAAATAAAAGCCTTCAGCTGAGCAGAGAGGGAGCAGGCAGGTAGAAAGTTTGATGTTGAGCTGAATGTGGAATTAGAGGGAGGATTTTTCTCTTGAGTTCAGACATATTGGCAACAAAAAGCTCCTTTCAGGCGAGGAGTTTGGATGAACTCGCCTCGTGTCACAAAGGCACGAGCCTTCAAAGCAGAACTGCAACTACAGAAGTTCTGTGTTGGAAATAATGTGAGAGCAGCGCAAAAAAAAAAGACTTGTTCTGATCCCAAACACACACACACACACACACACACACACACACACACACACACACACACACACACACACACACACACACACACACACACACACACACACACACACACACACACACACACACACACACACACACTGCTACATCCTCCCAAAACTCAGCAGCATTTACACTCAAAGATCCAAAGCGTCAAAACGGGGAAAACGCGTCAAAAAAAAAATGACAAGAACCAAAACAAATTCCTTTAAACGCCAAAACTTTAAACAAAAGTATTCAAAAATATCCTCTCTGCACATTTATACAGACTCAGTTTACATTAAATTATGGCAAAGGAACAGCAAAAATATATATGTACAAATTTATATATCTGCTGTGAGTATCCATATATACTTCTATATATTAGCAGTGATCATTTCAAGTGTTTGTGTGGCAAAAGCAAATTACAGGAAGCAAACAGAACAGAGACGGAGGGAAGCAGAGAAAACGATTCCAGTTAAAAACTAAAAAAAATCATTTCTGTACAAATCTGCTCCTGCTTTCAAAACAAATCTTTGAGCGTTTTCTTTAAATATTTTACTAAATACACGTATTTTGGGAGATGTAAGCCAGGCAGACTGCAGAGGGTTCAGATGTAAATTTGTTCTTATGCAGCATTATTTTTTGCTGACGCAGCATTATTTTGTAGCTCCTCTCACCCAGACGAGGCGCAGCGAAGACAAAGACTCGTAACTCCACAGATAACCAGTAAACACTGCAAACAAAACACAGACGCCTCCACGTAAACACTGTCCTTTGGGTGTGTGTGTGTGTTAATTTATTGTTTTATTACTGCGGCTGTGGTAAATTGGGTTTTTCACGCTGCAGGAGGCAGCGAGGCGTTTGTTCTTCAGCTCATTAGAATCCAGGTTTTATAGAACCAGCAGGAAGCAGCGACGCTCAGCGAGGAGGAGGAAGCGACGCAAAGTTTCAGGACGGGACGGTAAGTGCGACGCAGACATGAGGGATTTCTGAAGATTTTCTCTTTTTCCATCTTTTGAAAAATATTCATCAATGCATTTTAGGTTTTAACAATTAGAAAACTATGGATTTTTTTTTTCTTTTGCGTTCAATCACAATAATTTACACGTCAGCATAACTGAATACTGAAAGTCTTTCTGCTATTAAAAGGTTTCTGTCCATTAATGTCTCGTTTTTGAGAAATCTGAAGTTCTATCTCTTTTTATTTAGGATAAAAATTCACCAACTTACGAGTAAAATACAAAAGCTCTCTTTCCATCTCTTCTAACATGAAGACAGAAACTATTGCGCTATTTTAAAGACACCTGATAGTTTTGATTGGTTTTTGTGCTTGTAGCCGAAATGTTAAAAAAGATTGTTTCTATATGCAGCCACAGCTCAGATACATGTAAACATGCAGTTAATAAATCGATTTTCAATCAGATTTATGCACCAGAAAGTTACGAATGTATAAACATGTTTTCTTTAAATGTGGCATTTGGGGCTGTTTGTAAAACAGAGCATTGTTTTTGCTCATTTATTGTGAGGGAACGCAAAACAAATTCTTAAAACACTTAAAACTCTCTTAATCATTTGTTTTGAGAGCCGTAGATCTTCATAATTTACATTCCAGTTAAAAAGACTGAAACCAAGGCGTTCACATTTGCAAGTTCAGAAATCCAGCCGATGAAACAAAACGTGGAGTTAAAGCAAAGACAGCAAAACGTGCAGAGCAGTGAGCCTGGAGAGCGAACGGAGGTACGGCGCTCCGGTTTCCCAGCGAGGCATAAACGTCGTCTCTCCGTCCTGCTGCTGAAAGTCTGTCTCCTGCGATGCCATCGCCTCTTCCAGCTTTGTTCAGAAGTTCTCATTTAAAAAAGTCTGTAAAATGTCTGATTTGTGAAACGGGTCCATAAAAGGCCAGAGGTGGAGAGGTCACATGATGACCCCAGGCTGATGAGTTCACACCGCCGACACCTGTTCATCTGGAACAGAAGATGGACAACATGTCACTTATTTAATGAAAAACAAACAAAACCATCAAGCTACTCAGCAGGGATGAAAAACACAAGAAAACTCTAAATTAGTTTGGATAAACATGAAGAACAAAACCTAAAAACAAAGTGGTCCAATATTGAACCATCTGATGTTTGTGTTTCTGCATTTCTTGTTTTTGGATGTATTGTTTTTATTTTACTGTTGAAAGGGATTTTTATGACTGAAAAGGCCACTGCAGATTGAAAAAAGGAGAACATTGTCTCCAAATTTCCTTCTCAGAAATTTTCTCTCGGAAATATTATAGAAAAATTTAAGATTTTTTTTTTAGCAAATTTCCTACCGGTACTTTATTTCTAGAGTACCAGTAGAGTATTTCTAGTAAATTTTGCTGTATTAGAGGAAAAGCGTCTGATTGTCAGTTTCTTTTGGGCTCAACTGAATTTATTTTCAGTATTAATAACAGGATTTTGGTCACTTTCACTCAGTTTCAGTTGTGTATGGTTTTAATTTCCATTTTATTTATTGATTTTGGTGATTGTGTTAAATGTTCTTTACAAAATCACATTTTTTTTTTATTACACCAATATTACTTGGAACTGGTTTCAAATCAACAATATTATGATTTAATGGAATAAACATTAATGCAATAGTTATACTTTTACATTTGGAGAAGTGAAGTTGTTGGTTCCACTCATATTTAAATGAATAGAAATGGAAGAGCAGCAGCTTTCTGCTTTCTGGAGGAAAGCGAAGCAGGACTGTGACGTACCGTCCTCGCTGTCAGCCAGGTCCTGCGCTGGGGGGACGGCGCTGGGCGGTCTGGACCGGCCCTGAACGGGGCTGGCCGTTCGGAGGTGAAGCCTCCGCGCCTCGGCCAGCCCGCTGGCCGCTCTGGGGCTCTGCAGGAGTTTGCTCCTCTGCAGGGCCACGCTGTAGTCTGGAGGTCTGAGGTGAGGAGGTCGGGGGGCGGGAGACCCCGGCCCGCCGCCTACTCCGTCTGCGACCCCGAGGTCGCCCAGAGCCAGACCCTGGTAGCCTGGAGGGGTGGGAGGGGGAGCTCGGTAACGCTCGTCCTTAGTGGGGGACGTGACACAGTACACTGGATGGATGTGAAGGTGGAAATAAAAGGAGGATGGAGGAAAAGAAGGACGTGATGTGCAGAAAACAAAAGGGGAAAAATGGAAAAATTAAATAAACTTTATGAACACAACATGCAAAACATAAAAACTTAAAGGGGCAGTATTATGTTTCCCAGCAAGATGGAGTAACTGCGTTAACTTTAGTTGTTATAACAATGCTACATGTATGAAATATAATATTCATGAAATTAAAAACGGGCTTCTGTCTCTTTAAAAACTCCTTCAGGAAGTCGACAACACGGCTCCTCTCTTAACAACGCAGCAGCTCCACCAGGCGTTTGCTAATTGCTGCTGGCTAGTCTGAAGGAGCTGAGTGCCCAGAAGTTTGGACACTGCAGCTCTGAGGAGGAGCTTCGCCTCGAAGGCGGGGCTACGTCCACCCAGCTGATTGGTTGTCATGGAGACAACAGGATGTCTCCAACATTCGAATCAAAACAAAACTCCAGGTTTGGTTTTGATGAAGTAAAAACATTTCAAGATGATGAAAACCTCAGAAAAATAATACTGCCCTTTAACAGAAAAACATAAAACTAATAAGACGGATGACGGCATAAACAAACCCCGAAGCTGAACCGGGTGATGGTGTGTTTATAGATTTAATTAGAAAAATATCTAATCAGAATATTTGCTGATACATATATCTAATTTTGTAATATAAATAAATCTTTTCTGCCTGTTTTCCTCCTGGACAGACGGACATGCATGCAGGAGCGGAGGTGAGCGCTGCGTTCATCCTGATCCCTCACCTATCAGGCCCTTCTCTGTGCTCGACGTCACCGTTTTGTACGAGGCGTCTGCGCTTTGCCCTCCTTCCTCGTTGGCCGGCGAGGAAGGAAGCTCCGAGGCGTTTCGCCGCTTTATCGTTCCGTAATTCCCCTCGTAGTTGTCCGACAGGGAGCCCGACGACGTGCGGCTCTCCCGCGCCGCCACGCTCAGATCTGAGCTGGAGTCTCTGGTGTGGCGGCCGGCGGCGGCGTCGCCGGCCCACGAGGGCCCGGCGGAGTCCGCCTCGGCCGTCGTCCGGCCCGGCGCCGGGTGTTTGAAGCCGCTCAGGTGCGTGTGGGGGAGGGAGAGCGGGTGGCCGTGGATCCCGTGGTCCCAGGGCCGGCAGGATGAGGCGGGGAGGATTTGGAAGGATTCGTGAGAGTTGGAGGAACAGGAAGTCCAGCTGCCGCGGCCGCTGTCCACCACCGAGTCCAGGGACAGGGAGGCGTGGTTCGGGATCAGCTCCTCCGTGGAGACGGAGGAGGTGAAAGGTCGCGCTGCATGCCCTCCTCGAGCCACGACTGAAGAGCTGATAGACAGAAGAGATGAAATGTTTCCTCTTTATGTCATTTTTTAAAACCTTGATAACAATATCCAGACAATATTCCACATTTCCAAATCGCTAAGATTGAAAAAAGCTGATTGTTTTTCTGACAATCTCAAAAATGACATTGAAATGACTCATTTAAATTCATTTGATGAAACTGGGAGTCCTGCTGACCAGGCCATGAAGTGAGAACAGGTGGAAATGGCTGAAGGATGAAACATCATTTACTGAACAGACAGAAATCTGTCCCACATGATAAATAATATTCCTCTCAATGATCTCGTTCTCCAGACCGACTGTTTGATTCACTGACAGTATTTTACAGGACAAACCAGACAGTCAATGAAAACGAGCCGTATTTCATAAAACAAGCCGATGCTGCACAGCAAGGCTGCCAAGCTAATATAATATCAGAGAGCAGAGATTTCAGTTTTGTCTTTATGAGACAGAATGTCCTGATTATGGACAGACAATAAAGAAGGTGTAGACAATAAAAGAGCGGCGTTGTTTACTCAGCCAGATTAAAAAGCCGACTCTTTGTCCTGGATAAAAGCAGGAGAGAGGAGAGCAGTAAAACACGGAGATGCTAATAAACAGGTGTTATTTTTTTATGGCTTGGAGTTTTTAATGAGGTTGCTGTAAATGGAGGCAGCTGGGAAGAAAACGGAGCGTTGAATAGCAGCAGATGGTCAATAGATGGATGTTTTGTGCAAAACTTTGAGGTGAATAGAGAAGAGGAGTCAAAAAGTTGAGTTTAGTTCAAAGAAATATTAAACAGCAGGCAGTATTCCCATCCCTTGATCTTTTCTACATTTTTTAAAAAAGGTTTATCTGCTAAAGTCGAGGCTTTTCGTAGAAATTTATTTGAATAACCGGGAAAATTCAGCATTGTTTTCTATGATACCTCTAATAAAAAATAAACAACAGAAATTTTCTTCTTTTCTGAGCCCCTTATTGGGCTGGAGAGAAAACTGCATCTATCTGTGGCTAACCCAAACTACAAGCTAACGCTAAGCTACAAACAGCACGGTGGTGGGGGATCATGCTATGGGAATGTTTTTCTTGAACAAAGTTCAAATGAATGAGGGTAAATACCATCTAGTGGCAACCAGGATAATAACCTTAAATATACAGAAAGAGCAACAATGCTGTGGTCTCAATAAAAAAAATACCAATGTTAGAATGGTCTAGTCAAAGCCCAGAAGTAAAACAAACATAATAAAAAAATACAGGGGAAAAAATGTGATTATTGTTGCTCACACACTTTAATTTGAATTGTAAAATAAAAGAGAACAAACTTACAAACCAACATAAATAAATATAGAAGCTATTTTATTTAAGTTCTGCAAACGTAAATAATTAAAAACACAGCTCTGTGTTTGATTATTAAAGGTTTATCACGATATAAAAATCTATTATTCTATTAAAAGTCCTGTTTTCTGGATGAGGTTTAAACCCTGACAGGATCCTCTAAAATCTAAATCCCATTCCTGTCATTTGGGTTTTCAGGTTCTGCTCTCAGCCTCCGACGATCAACCAGACCAAATGAACTCAACTGGAGCCAATTACCTGGTGCTGGGCTGGCTGTAATCAGCAGTTAGGTGTGCATTTAATGCCGCTGTGCCCTCAGCGACCACAGCAGCCGTCGCGGCCGTAGCATTAGCAGCGACGGCGGCAGCGGTACCGGAGCCGGCCCGGTTGCAGCGGTCGTCCGGTCCGGAGGCCTGCGCCGAGTCCACAGAGCAGATACTGGAGCGGGACGAGATCTCGCTGTGACTGGAGTCCGACAGGTTGTCCGATTTGGCAGAGGGGAGGAGGGGACAACCTGAAGACGGAGGACATTTAGGATGAAACAATGAAAGACGAATCCAAACTGTGAATGATGTTGGTTCTGTACGATACCTGCAGATCCACCAAACCTCCATTAATCCACTTAACACTAACTAACTGTCATTTAAAATGATTGTGAAACCAGTTTGAACTCAGTTTGAACTTTTTATCACAGAACTCAGTAACACATAAATGAACAGATTGATCGTCACGTAAACCTGAGACGAAGCCGTTGGGTCCGAGTTTGTTTCTGAAAGAACAGTCTGTTCAGCGCTGAATGTTTTTCTGTTCATTACAGCTTCAACATTAACTGAAGGACGAACTGGCAGGAGATCAGCCACACTGACAAACTCAAATACGCAATCTTTTCTGATCGATGACGGCAAAACACAAAATCTCACCAAATATTTATGAACTTAAAGATTTTTAACTTCACTAAATATCTTAGTGAACTTGAAAAAAGACAAAACTAACAGACAAGCAACTTTTCAGCAAGAAATATGACAATAATTACTTAATATTCTGGTTGAACTGGCAGATTATCCCACAGAGAACTGGGTCGCTGCCTAGCAACCCTAGCCCGTTGCCTAGCAACCCAGCCCGTTGCCTAGCAACCCCAGCCCGTTGCCTAGCAACCCCATTGTACTCCCATTGGCAGATTGTTTCTCTTTCATGTTTCCATGTTACAAATAACTTAAAACATGCTGTTATTTCTTGCTGAAGTTTCTTGTTGGTCAGTTTGGTTTTATTTTAAGTGTATTAAGATATTTGCACTAAAAACCAGACAGAAATACCTGGTGAGGTTTTGTGTTTTTGCAGTGCATCATCACCACTAGTCTGTGATTGGACGCCATCAACTCGCAGAAACTTCACCGAAGTTCACAGACCAGCTCCAACGTTCTGACTGGAGCGTCTCTGAAACACTGCAGAAACACAACATCCTCCGTCTCGACTCATTTAGTTTTTGTCTAGTTTCTAGTGCAAATGTCTAAATTCACTCAAAGTAAGAAAAACTAACTCAAGTGAGTTTTCAGCAAGGAATAGAAACTTTAAGCTTTAATTCCTAAATATTGATGGAAAAATTCTTTGGCAGATTATTAAACTTAAAACATCAATGTTGTCAGTTTAATAATCTGCCAATGTAACTTCCTGAAACTTAATTCTTAATTCAGGTTCCAAGATGTCTGCACTAAAAACTAAACAAAAATACCTGGTAAGATTTTGTGTTTTTGCAGTGTGGAATCGTTTCCATCTCTCAATCACTCATTCTGTCTGTCTGCTACATCATTTTTCTGAAACATCTGGAGGCGTCCGGTGACACTAATCTGCTGGCGCTGCCTGTCAGATGGTTTTCCTCCTGCTGTGTCGGTCTCGGCACAGCCAGAGGAACGGGTTGGGGCTGACCGATCTCCTGACTCTCTGCTCTGTCTGTCCTTCAGCCTCCTGCTGAGCTGCGGAGGCTGAAGTCTCTCCAGAAGCTTCCTCGCTCTCTGGCAGCGGCCTCTCTCTGGACTGGCTCCTCTCTCTCAGCACCCTGAAAGGAGACAACAGTCTCGCCTTGATGGGCGTCCTGACGCCAGCGTGGGGAGGAGGAGGAGACCCGCAGTCCTCCCCCTGCGGCTCTGGGGTTCCTGATCTCCTGGGTAACACCGGCCCTGCCTCTGCCTCCGACTTCCTGTGCTGCCTGGATCTTCCTCTCCTGGGTTCTGCCTGACCTGCCTCTGCCTCGTCCTCAGCCTGTCCCTCTCTGTTGCTGCTGCTCTCTCGGCTGTGCTGACTGGTCATCTGCAGGATCCTCTTGTGGAGAAGAGCCCCACCTATGCCGTAGCTGCGCAGACTGATGGTGCCCGTCTTTGTGCTGGCGTCGCTGGTCAGCGACGACGAGGATCCCGATAAGTTCATCTGGCTGGAGTTCTGCGATTTTGCGGCGCCACCAACTGGCAGAAGAAATCAGAGACGGAAAGGAGAACATGGAAAAAATCCTGAACCAAAAATACTTGTTAAGATTTTGTGTTTTTGCAGTGTGATATTGTAAATAACTCCTGTTATGAACATGAAGGAGTCTTCATTAATATCTTCAACTGTTGCATTGACATGATAAATAATGGCACTTTAATGCAAAGTTGTGCTAAAAGTCCATTAAATGTATCTACTTTGTAATAAAAGTGTCATTATTGATCAAACAGACGCATATATTAATGAAAACTCCTTCGTCTTCATGGCGAGTCTCAGTCATGGGGAAACGTTGCCAACCTTTGCGTGGCGAACCCTGAGGCGACACGGTGGGGCTGGAGTGGAGCGATGACACCATGGAAACGGTGTCATCAGACGGCCTCTTGGCGCTCCACTCATCTGACGAGTTCGCCGAAGGTTTCTTCACCACCTGCGGAGAATTTGAGTCTAACGGAAAGAAAAATACGATCATGAAGACAGAAATGTATGAAGTAAGGAGCAGCGGTAAAGTGAGGAGAACTCACTGGGGGTGCCGGTGTCCTTGGCGCTGCTCTTCTTCCTCAGAGGGTTCAGAGGCACCTGGACCTGCAGGACTTGTGACACCCTGTTCTGAGTTTTCCCTGAAGGTAACGTCGCCCTGAGGGACACCGGAGACATGTCCGACTTGTTTGTCCGCCTCTCGCTCAGGTTTTTGCCCACTGAAAACAAAGACAGTTAATGAGAAACATTTACAAACTAGAGCAAAGAACTTAATGCACTTAAAAACAAGACAAAACTTACAATTAACATTTCAGAAGATATAGGAGCTAATTCTAAATGAATGATTCCTTCATACTGGTGAAAAGGTTCTAGTTCCATCGGCAGATTATTTCACTAATAATAAGATATTTTCCCCATATATGTTATTATTTTCATGTGACTGTCTAGAAGCTCTATGAGGCAAACAAAAACATATTTATGATTATCTGGATTAGAGATGAATTTGTAGACATTTTCATCAGCTGCATCATTAAATGCAGGTTGTTGTCACGTCATTGCTGTAGGATATGAGGGTAAACGCTAGGGGGCAGTATGGGTGAATATTACAAAACTGGGAAACAGTTTTAGGTTCACACTGATTCACCTGAGATACAAACAACTTTTATACTTTAACGTCTAGTTTATTGAGACAAAACGCAAAACTGCAGACCTGAATCAGAAGCAAAAAATAAAAGCAGAAATATGCATTTTTGTCTTTTCCTTTTAAATATATATATATAAAACAAAGTGGACAAAACATGTTTAAGAAAAAAAATAGATGTGTATTTTCTGGCAAAATGTTTGTATAAGGAAAACAAAAAATATATTTTAAACCACAATGCAAATAAAATAAATTATTTTAATTAATTAAAAATAACTTATTATTTTTAATTAATAAAAATATATTTTTTAGAATTATATGAAAAATATATTTTTTCATTAATTAGCAATTAATAATAGATTAATGTATTTTTGCTAATACATTTTTAGAATTATTATTGATTATTATTAATTATGTCAGTTTTGGTCCTGCCCAGTTTATACTAATAGTGTAGAAACATTTAGTTTAAATCAGTGTTTAACTCACATGTGTTGTAAGATGGTTCACACTGCAGGGACATGATTTGGTGTTTGTCCTCATCCGTCTCCACCGTCAGGTTCGACAGGTACTGCTTCACCTTGCGGGCCATCTGAGCGTCTTCGTAAAGCTTTTTGGCGTTCAGGAGGGAGCTGCGGCGCACGCGCTTCTTATGGGCTCCACCCTGAACGTCCAGGATGTTGGAGTTGGTGCTGCCTTGACTCAAAGACCTGATAGAGGAGGAAGAGACAGTGAAGATGGAGGGAAAGAGAATTAATGGAAGAAGATTGAGATTGGAGAGGATTCAGAGGATAAAGAAAGTGAAGGAAACGGGAGGCAAAATAAAATCACTGAGTTCAAACAGAAAAACACTTCAGTAAAATCTGAAAATCTGTTTTGTAGCACAGCAGTTTAAAACGGGACCATGCAACTGGGGAGAGCGGCAGCGCCCCCTTATGCGCCATGCTGACAGTGCAGAACAGCGGGACATTCTGTCCAATGGAGGCAAAAAGGGTTAGGAAACACAAGATGCAGAATACTCAATGTGGAGATGCAGATGTGGAGATGCAAACACAAACCAGAGTCAAATAGTATTTGCAAATGCTTGAAATAGTTTATTTTGCTTTCCATTTTTACGAACAGCTGCCAGAGAAACTGGTTTAGTGACTAAACCATCTAAACCAGTTGATTTAGTGACTAATTTGCTGGGCTGATGTGGAGTTTCCAGCATTTTCCAATTTTTCTTTTGGACTTTAGGACTAGGAGTTTCTATCTAATGATAGATAGAAATTAGTTTAATTTGGGGAAAAATCAAAAAACTTCAAATTGTAAATATGACAGAAAATTACTTATTCACAAATAAAGACTAAAAGTTTGTATTAGAGCTAATATGGACAATAAATCAGTAACAACATCGATCAATGTCAGTAGGTAATACGCTCGATCAAATATTCAATAAGCAGCTCACTCACTCTTTGGCTACCTAGCAACAGTCACCTAGCAACAGTCCCTTGAGTAACTTGCGCAGCAGCAGTTTCAGGTTTCTCTACCTTTCCTTATAACTGCTCAAAAATAAAAAAAATGGTGTGTAGAGAAAACCCTGGATAACAGAGGAAAGGTCAGGCCACCAGATTGGGATTATTTAAAATATTCAAAACAAGAGACTAACCAATAATTATTGATTTGAGTTTAATTCCTTAGGGAACCTCTCGAGAAGTTTTGGACATCCACAGACTAAATATTTTGTCAAATTTTCTTTTTTTTGTAGAAATTGCTAAAACTCAGTCAGACTGGATGGAAAACATCAGTGAACATCAATTTTTAGTTCATTTTAAAAGAATAAGAGAAATGCATAAAAAGAACCACGAGTCTGTGCAATAAAGTAATCAAATCAAATCAAACCATATTTGGAGATCTTATTTTTTTTGTCTATCAAAGTAAATTCAAATGAAATACAATGCATTTTATGGCTCTACTATAAAAAAGGTGAACAAGAACTTTGAATAAGCCTGTAAGGTTAAACTTTAGGACAAGATTTTCAGAATAAAATACTAACTGAATGTCTGACATCTTAAACAAACGGCACATTTCAGGGTTGCAATGATGTGAGGAAGACTTTGGTGGATATGACTGCATAAGAATATGCATCATAACACATTTAGAAAGCACCATTACAAGCTACTATGTGACTTCAGAGTCTTATGAACATGGCAGATAATTAATGGGAGATCAATGGATTCATGTGGATGAGCACCGCAAATGCACATGGGGAGGTTAATCACACAGACACAGAAAAAGGGACACATGCAGAGTCTTATGCAGGGTGGACAAAATTTCAGCCGGTCCAGACTGGAACTGGGTTAAAAACTGGAAACCGGGCCACAACTTACCCTAAACTCTTCCACCTCTTCTTCCTGCAAGCAAGAGGCGTGAAGATTGAAGCGTGACTTAAAGACAAGTTTAACGATTTGGGAGGAGTGGAGGTGGAGACAGGACTTATGTAGACTTCATGCCACCACAAACAAACAGGAAATGACTGGAGATGGGAGGACACCACATGTGGGACATTCTCCCCTCATCAACCCAAAAAGTGTGTTTTGATATTTTGATTTACAGAATTTATTGACAGGATTTCCTGAACGTGTAGTAAGACAAAAGTGTCTGCAGGGGGCAGTCATGCACCGCAGCAGTGACAGACTGTGACAGACGCACAACAAACTGAGTGACACCAGCTACACGCAGCAGCTGTCATCAATTCCACCTCCACTTCCAATCTGCATCACAATCCAGTTAACAACTGCAACCCAAACATGACCAGGGAAGGAAGCGAAGGGAATTGATTGGACAAGACGCTGAGCGTGCGCCTGATCCCACAGCTGAGGGATCCAGGTTGGCTGGAGGATGTATGGTAGCCGTGTTTCCCTTTTTGCCAACATTTCTTTGGTTTTAGGTTTCAGAAGTAAACCAAACATCAACCTTCACACTTCAACACTCTGAGGATTTTTCCTCCAATCTGATGGTGAACAGGAGGAAGGTTTAAAGATAAACAAGCTGAAAGCTGCAGGATGTAACTGTTTCACTATGTTGTGACAGTTTATGAGTCTGGAAAAACTGAGCTCCTATTACAACCAATTAGAGCCAGGAGGCGGGACTTAGTGCCATCAATCAATCCTCTCCTCCTCCCCTTGCTCTATGTTTCACTGAAGCTAACACAGAGGTATTGTTTTTACGTAATCTTGGCTAAATATAGCAAGCGTTTTGAAAGAAATGACCCAAATCCTGTTCTTATTACTGAAAATAAATGTATTCAAAACAAACTGAAAACTAGATGTCCGCTTTATATTATTGCCATTGTAGAAAAAAAATTAAAAGTAGTACATTTCAGCCATAAAACTTTGAGTAATCACAGACATTTTTGACAAATATTTTTTCTACAAAACATCTAAAAAAATTTTGAATTAGATTTTTTTTTTTTTTGAAAAGTCAAAAATTTTCAAAACAATTTTGAAAATAAAAAGAAAGTCAAATAATTTTTTAAAATTTTGAAAAAAAAAGTCTGGGTTCACAATTTCTACAAAATTTCTGAATTTTTGGAGGAAATTTTCTCCTTTTTTAAAATCTAAAATAGTCCCAATACACAGTCATAAAAATCAGTTTAAAAGTTTGGCTCAACAAAAAATATCAAGCGACTTTATTTGCTTAATTTTGGGTTGTTTTTTTTCTTTTGGGCTGCAATTTTTTTTAAGTCTACAATTTTGGCCCAAAAGGTTTGGAGACCCTGAGCTAACAGAACCTAGCTATGCTAAGGCTAGTTAGCATAGCCACCCATGATGGCAGATAAACAGTTTTCTGTAACGATGAGGTGTTTCTTGATTACTAACATATTTGGCAATCCATAAATGATGTTGATTGGCAGCGCTAAGGCCCACCCCTTTGCTGTGATTGGTTGTTTTTGGTGCATTTCTTCAGACAGCAATAGTAGCTCATGGAGGAAGAGGATCTTTTCACAGATTATATAAAACATCTTATTTATAAAAGTTACATAAAGCAGCTTTGAGGGAATCTCTAGACTTTCAATAAAACCTGCAGTTTGGCTGATTATTTCTGTAAGTTAACAACAAATTGAATAAAATCTGACTCACCTAAAATGCTCTTGAGGTCTGAAAACTGGCCCCAACAACAAGACTGAAGCAAAATAAAAGGAAGCAACAGTAGAGTGATGAATAAATGGCAACTAACCTCTGTCTGAACATGAGGGCGGGGTCCATGTTGGCCGAGGTCATCCGCACCACATGTCTGATCTCCTTCGCGATCATCCTCAGCTTCTCAAAGTTCACAAGGCCGTCAACGTTGGAGTCGTTGCCTGGGATGAAGCAGGCACACACACACACACACACACACACACACACACACACACACACACACACACACACACACACGCACACACGCACACACACACACACACACACACACACACACACACACACACACGCAGACAAGCAAACCAATTTAACTCGCTGTCAGCGTTTTATGAAACGTTCATATTCTGGGGCTCTTGAAACGTAAAATAAAGAGATGCTAGCCTCTCTAGTCATTGTTGCAGGAGATCAAGATTCCTGTTTTTAACACTTTATTTTTGGAAAGCAGTATTTATTTTTGAAACTTTCAAAATTGAGACAACTTTCTGTTTTGGCAGAAAATGCCAGATAGATGAAGTTTTTCTAACCTGACTGACCTGGTAGCTTCCAAATATAGGATGGGGAAGCAGAAGCAGGTTCACTGTAGCCTAAGTTTGACTTTACGCTGCACAGGTAATGGAGCAAAATGATTAGTCAACCCTGTTTTGTTTATTTAGCTAGAACTAACTCTGTACAACTTCCTATTTTAGTGGTATAAAATCCAAATAAGCCTTATATTTGCACCAATGTGCACAATGGAAACTTTCCTTGCTGTTCTGCACAGGGGTAGAAAATCCAGAAATTTTACTCAAGTGAGAGTACAGACACTTTATAATGAAATTAATCAAATAAAAGTAAAATACTCAGAAAAGTCATTTTTTTCACAAAGATTTCTCAAGTAAATGTAATTACTATTAAACTCTGGCTAACACCTACAGCCAATCAGCACCGAGGAAAACAAATGGTGCTCCTGGATTGGCTGCTTTGTAAACGCCAGCCAATCTGTGCATTGGCAAATTTTACTAACTTTTCAGGTTTTTTTGCCCAGTCATAATTATAGATCAGTTTATGTTGGCCTATCGCCTAAAATCTGGTGAAAACAAAATAAAGTTTGTGTTTTTAATGCGAACCTCCAACAGACTTCTGTTTCCAGCTAAACCAGACAGAAACTTCACCAAGTTTTCCTACCTTCATGCAGGAAGGTGAGGTCCTTCTTGACCACAGGAAACAGTGGGATGATGGGCGGCTGCATGCTTTGGCTGCTCAGCACGTTGCGGTACTTGGCCATGTTCCTGGACGGGTCAAAAACGTCCTGCAGGTCCTCAAAGAGCTTCTCATACTTACTGGGCAATTTCTCCCACGAGCTCCGCAGTCGAGCCACCGGCGCCAAGTTCAGCCCGCTGTGCAGGAGAGAGGGACGCTTAGACAGGGAGTCACTTCTACCAGCCAGTCAGTTCACAATCACAAGGAAACTGGGTTACTGTGAACTGTAATTATATCAGTAAAAACATTTTAAAAAAGCAGTTCACAAAGCAGAAAATATATTTCTGCTGCAATAATGCAAAACCCACATTCTGGTATAATCTTCTTTGGAATATGGGAGGGTTTTTTTTCTAAATTTTAAATACTGGTAAATTATTAGAAATTGGTCCAGTTAAACATTTTTGGTTAATCTAATTGTGGCATCCTTCCTTTAAAAAACTAATTCACAATAATACATCAGCATGTTCTTTGTGAGGTTCTTTGCGGATCCATACTTTGTTTTTATGGAAGATAAATCTGAACACTGTTTCTAAGCAGGAATATAGATTCTGAAAATATTTGCTTGAGATCTTATTTCATGTGATAAACATTCCTACAATCCAAATGCATTTTATTCTGTAATATTCTGAGGGTGAGACTAGTGTGGTTTGTATTTCAGACTGCCACACGTTGTGTTTGCTGTGCAGTGGCAGATGTGCCCCTGTCACCGGGCAGGTTAAGCATCAGAGAGCCATATGCACCAAGAGATCCTGCTGTGAGCAGCAGTGTGAGGGGTCATGGAGGTCAGACTCCTCTGTTCACCGCCGTGAACAAAGGATCAGCTGCTGCAAGCTCAGACTGATACTCACACAGTTCAACACCTAACAGATTCATAATTATTAAAACATTCAGTAATCAGAAAGTTAGGTAAATTAGATGTTTTGATAAAACCTTTACTAGTGTTTTTTAACAAACACTCCAGAAAAATGGTTTAAGAAATCAGTTCTGGAGTTTTAAAGTGATTTTGTGGCTGATTTTCAGTATTTGTGAAGCTTTGATCAGATTTTTGTCAGTAATCACAATATTTGACTTTGTGGCATTTCATTGTAGAAGAATAGGTGACGTCACACTGTGTGTGTGTGTGTGTGTGTGTGTGCGCGCGCGCGTGTGTGTGTGAGGGTGGAGGCTATTGTATCTTCCATTAGCAATTATCAAGTTTACCTGGCTAAGCTGGCTAATTTTTTTCACAATTATTCCTGTTATCTACTGAAGTCCGTTTTGGGTGAATTTGATCTCAGCCTAGGAAAAAATGACGTCCTGTGTGAGGCAGCTTGTTTTCATACCCAGTTGATCAGGTTGATCAGCTTCTTTCACTGTTTTGCTTCCTCTGACTTGCTGACTCACTAAAAATATCCAACTTTGAGTCTTCTTCCCACTCTAACAACTTCCCACTCTAACAACTTCCACACTAAAGAGTGTTGTGGTGTTTTCCCTACCAGATGTTTCCCAGTTAAAACGACCAGCAGGCCTCATCAGGCCTACCTGCGGTGGCTGAACTCACCTGATGATGGCGAACATAGAGTTGAAGTTCTTGCACTCCCTGCAGTGCAGAGCGATCTTGATGAAGTGCTTGATGGTCTTCATCCTCTTCAGGGTGTTTGGCTCTTTCAGGATCTCAGTAGCCACCCAGAAGGTCTCCTGGTTTATCACCTCCTCAAACTGTTTCAGGTTCGTACACCCAGCAGACGAGTCCAGCTTGAACAAGTCCTCCACATACCTGGCACCAGGAACAAGGAGACAAAACAATCTGTGTGATCCAACAATTTCTACATTTTGCCATATATTTGGTACTTTAAACGTCTTTATTTTTTGGCAGTCACCTAGAGTGTTATAGGTATATTAATCACAAACTGCCTACTCTGTGGACTCGATGTTCCTGAAGAGTTCAAAGTCTCTCATTGACAGCTGGGCAGCGACCTCCATGGTGCTGAGCTGCAGCAGGGAGATCTGACTCTCCCTGAGGAGATCCTGAGCATCGTCATCTGAACACAACGTCTCCGTCTCCATGTTGTTCTTCAGGTAGTATCTGGAGGGAAACACCAGTGAGACAGTGAGGTAGATCATTTACCTGAAATACTCTCCAAATCCATCGTTATTTGCCCTTTTTCAAGCTGCGTAACGTTTAATCTTTTCAGGGACTTAAAGTCCATTGAAGAATATTTTCTCAATGAATTTTAACATCATACATTAGCAAAAATATCAGAAAAATTCCTAACCAATATTTCTAAATTAGCATCCCAAAATATGTGGATTTGCAAAAAACCACAAAAACAAACATAAAATCCAGGAGGAACTGGTGTCAATATTTTAACAGTTAAAAGGGTTTTATCAATACATTCTGGCACAACGGCCCTTCAAGAACATTCAGATTTCTGATCAAATGAAGCTGAGTTTGATTCTCCTGATCGCCAGCGTTCACCAGCAGGACATCTCTTCCTCTAGACGCTGCAGTGTTTATAAATCTAAACCTTCGTCTAATGGAGCCGTAATGCAGGCAGCCTGGAGCGCAGACCCCTGAGGATTCAGGGCCTGGAGTGGGCTCTCTCCAGCAGTGAAGTGTTTTGGCACAGACCTGAGACTAAATTGCACAATAATGCTGACAGAGAAGCTGGAAAACGGAGCAACAGGTTGTGTTGTGACTGAGCTAAATTTGCCCATAAAACACAAGACGTGAAACGAGGTCAACAGAGCAACATTTAGCTTGGTGGCCACAAGCGACAGTGTTTGAAAAGCCTTAAGCCATTAGATTTACTGCAGCAGCATTTTCTTACAAACAGGGAGGTAAGCCCACAGCATCACAGACACTCTACTGTACTTTTCAGAGGATAAAGAGTTTCTCTATGTATTGATCTTGAGAAGTGTGTTGGCAAAATGCTCTGTCTTAGTTTTAACTTGCTGAATCTCAACATGTTTCCATTATTTGACCTTCTGATGGCAGGTAATAGTTGCCATGGAGATTTATAAACCCGCCATGCCGCTCCTTGATGCCGTTTTTCACTTCCCTTAGTGGTAATTAGTCTAATGTGGCTTCTCACCAACTGGGTAACTTGTTAATTATTAATAAAAAAAATCCTAAAAATCTTCATAAACTGAAAAAAATAAGAATGAAAAAAAAAATTAACAGTAAGAAAAAGTAGTGAAATTATAGGTTGGATAATTTCAAATATGTTCAATGTAAGATTATGGTATTGATGTGAATTTGCTGATTTAATGCACTGTAACTGATAAGCAGAGGAGATATTTGGCCAAGAAAAACCAAAACAAAGACTGGATCAATGAAGGCAAACAAAGAAGAGAGCAGAGTTTGATAAGAAAGGATGAGGACAGCAGACGAGACTAAATTAAAGATAAACAAACAGAATCAGCGCAATCTTTGGGAAATACCCAATGGAAACACTCTGTGTGTGTGTGTGTGTGTGTGTGTGTGTGTGTGTGTGTGTGTGTGTGTGTGTGTGTGTGTGTGTGTGTGTGTGTGTGTGTGTGTGTGTGTGTGTGTGTGTGCACGCTGACAGGGTGCAGAAGGCCTGCGATTGGCTCAGCCTGCCACTCCCTGAGCTGCTGTCAATCACCAGCAGCAGAGCGCTGGAGTCTGGAGGACGGCGGATGCAAAGTCGTAGAGACACAGCGCTCCCAAACGTTTCTGCTAAACGGGAACTTCTGCTGGTGGCTGTGAGCGCACACACTGCTGACGCTACAAATCGCAGCGACAGACGCCACCAAAGCCTCTGTATCAACCATAAATGCAAAACTGAAGCTTCTGAAAAACATGCGTTGTGTATTTTTTTATTTGTGTACAGCTTTAGATATGCTCAGTTGTGCCAAAGAAGTGTCTGAATTGTATTAGGAACGTTAGCATGAGGCTGTATGAATAATTCCATACATGCCATGCTGCCTGCAGAGGCCTCCGCCCTGACAGAGGATGAAAAATTCATGCCAGCCTTGCTGGGAGGGGACCGACGAGGGACCCTCAGACAGGAGGGGGAGGAGAGACGGGAAAACTGTGAAAAAGTAATGGAGGAGGCAGCATCTGCTGCTCCACTCCAACCTTTCTGCTGGGTTTCACATGGAAAGGACACAAGAAGAGGAAGAAATCTGACTTTCAGTGAGCTGAAAAAGGTCCGACTGAAAAACAGGAGAAATTTGTGATTATGACGATAGAAAAGGTTTGATTTTAATGTTATGGATGTAAAGTTGTTTTTATTCTTCACATTCATGTTCGGTGCAGAAGTTTAATTAACTTTTGCTACGGCTGGTGGTTACCATAGCAACCAGTAACTGGCTCCGCCCCTTTTCTCTGTTGCCGTTAGCGACTGTGCATCAGCGCCGCGGTTTCTTTATATCTCAACATATTTTAGACAAATTTAAACATACATGGTCTTTCATGAGTAATGTTTCCATGTTGTGTATATTTTAACTCATCATTAATGTTTTATTAATTTTACTTATGTTTAACTTTATAACTGCCGCTGACTGCTCATTGGGAGACAATGTTTTGTTTAGGGTTATTTACTGAATTTTATTTATTTTGTTAGAATAAATACAGTGAGCATACGTGTGTCTGTCAACCTGAGACGAACAAAAAAGAGTTACATTAGTTATATTTCTGACAGACTGTATTTCAGTTCAACAGATGGAGTTTGTATTCATGTTGTGGAGCCAAAAAATGTTAAGTGAATGAAATAAATCAGCCGGTGTCCTCAGGAAGGATTTAATCTGCCATGTCGCGGGACATGATCTGCTTCCTAACACGGCTAATCTCATGCAGACTGCATGAAGTCTGGAGCCGCAGCGTGAAAGATACGGATGATACAAGACAAAAATGTAAGATTACACAGGGCTGTTTAAACTTCTGCTATTCCAGACAATCTTGAAATAAACTGTCAAGAAAAAGGAAGAAAAAGCTGATGACTGAATGTTTTATGTCATACATCTGCTTTTGGTTATTCATGAAAGCGTTCAAAAGGCTCCAGTCTGTAATCTGAAAGTCTGTGGTTTGCTTCCAGCTCCTTCCTTTTTTTCACTGTGGATTAAGATTTAAGTCATTTTCTCAGACTGATTTGTCTCCTCATCCTTTAAAGCTGCAGAATGTAACTTTAATAAAAAATATTTTTACACATTTGTTGAAACTGTATGTGAAGAGACAATCTGTGAAAAAAAACTCCTTTACTTTGTCCCAGTGCTCCCAGTTCTAACCAGAAAGCACCAATCAGAGCCAGGAGGCGGGTCTTTCCTCCAGCTAGTTAGCACAGAATAAACAAACTTATATACAAAGACTGAAGCAAACAACAGAAGAACAATAGTGGAAGAAACATGAACTTATTTTACATCTATAATACTGAATTTAGGAATTCACTATTAAGTTCTTTTGAGAATAAATAATTCAGTTTCATTCCTAGCTTTGTGAAATAGCAACATTATCAGTGACATTTATTACTCATATTGATATGCAGTGATGAGCATCTTCTGAAATAACGTTTTCAGCTGTTTGGACTTTGCTTGATTTCCATGCTTCAATCATTCTTATGTAAAAAAAGAAAAGTATTTTTATAAAAAATTATGCTGCAACTGTATTTCTGGCTTATGAAGAAGCACAAATGCTCCAAAGTCCAACAGAACCATGCTAGCTCTGGGAAACAAACCCCAACCGCAGCTTAAACTTCCTGTTTGCTCACCTGCCGTTGAGCTGAATGCGATCGGCCAGTTTGGAGAGCTGGTCGGGAAGCCGGCGCTGCTTGATGACCCCCTCCGGGCTGACGGACACCTCGCACAGGGAGTAGGTCTCCGACGCCGCCAGGAGGCCGAACTCGTTGACAGTGTGGGTGACGACGTCCTTGGCTGTTGTGTCCTTGCTGATGATGATGTAGCAGCTCTGCTGGTCCGCCTTGAACACGCGGATAACCTGGTCTGGGATGTCTGCAGAGACGGAAGAAAGGAGCAAATAGACATGAAAATTAATGAGTGAAGCTCCAACAATTATTTGCAAACCCTCAGAGTTGTGTTATATATGTAGATTTAACTTAAACCCAAGTCTGTCTCTTGAAAATTGTCTCAAACTACAATATTATTGTTAATTGCAATAACTTCTAGGACAATTTATTGTCCAGTAAAGTTTGTTATTGTGACAGTGGTAGTTAAAACTGCAGCAAAACATAAAACTCAGATTCAAGAGCTCTTAATTTGAAATAAAGAGGCTTTACCTTTTGGTAAAAAAAGGAATAAAACCAGAATACTGTTAATCAAAACCTACAAAGCTTAACTGTTAGCAATTACTAGCATAGCTACCAAATACTTACACACCAGTGTGTTTTAGATAATATAAATGTTCTGTATTATGGAGGATGCTAAGGTCCATTACTTAAAGACAGAGATAGAGCCAGATAACGACATGGCTGCAGAGTCTGAGTGTTTGGATGGCAAAACCTTTATTACCATCATTACAGCAGCAGCACATGATACAAACAAGCTGCCAAAGGCAAAACCAATAACAATACAGTTGCAGTAAAAGCAGATAATCAATCATCCTGCTTGTTTAGGGAGCCGTAAAATTGATCCTTCAGTTTCTCCTATTTATCCTCCAAGAACAGATAAAGATGCAGTTTCTCTTTTATTTTAGGCTTCCTCTCATTTATTTATGCAAAACTGAAGATTATCTTGATACTCGAATCAGAATATTGAATGCCATGATAAATTGTCCCAAAACTTATAGTGACAAATGGTAATATTGTTGTTTTGATACCAAACTCAAAGATTACTAATGAAAAATAGTAACAATAAAGAAAGAATACTTTCTCAGAGATCCATAACCTTTAACTCTAATGAACCCTTAACGCTGGAACTGGAAGACATTTTAATTAAAAACAGAAAAAAATAATAAAATGAATGTAAACAAAACTGTCCTTCAGAAAAAGGGCTATTTGAGATCAAAACACCAAACTGAAGATTTTTATCATCCAGTCTTTGGTATAAAGAGAAAAAAATCAAAAAGCAATAAATCATGCAAAGAGAAATTATTGAGTCTGTTTGGATTACATGTCCAGCTACACAAATGTTATAAAACTGAAATGTTGTAGCAATCAACCAATAGAAAAATCTAATTCCATGCTAAGCTAAGCAGATGCTCTGTCTACACTGATGAAAATCCATTCAACCTCAGCAGAGAGTGGAGCTGAATAATTAACTGAGCAGCTGGATATTTTATGGGTTGTGTATAAAAAGCCTTAAACCAGGTGGAGACGTCATGTTGATGAAGCTCCGATGAAGCTGCAGAGCCAACACTAAAACAGAGAAAACAAACTGCATAAACGCGTCAGGACGTAATGTTTCAATATATAAAATATGTTTTTTGATACATCAACATAGGCCATACGTCAGCTAGTGTGAAAGCAGCTTGAATGATCTTCTCTCTGACTTTCATAATTGTAATTTATTTCCAGGCTCATTTATGTTTTCTTTGTGTAGCTGAATAATTCAGAAGCAACTAATCAGCTTTAACCTCCAGTTCACTTTCATGGCTCGTTCAGGGGAAATAGGACATATCAAAATTTTGACATTGGCCCTTTTTCTTGCAGATAAACAGCCACTTTGCAGACCATAAGCTCTATCAATAACATAACATTTACTGTTTGTGACAGATGAATGGCTCTGAGTATTTTGCAGCAGTTAACTGAAAGCTGCATGTGCTCACAGCCAGCAGAGTGCAGGCAAAATGTCTTATAAGCTGTGATGACTTGTGATTAAAGTGTGAAAAGCTCTCAGATAAAAATCCGCCTATTATATCCTGTGAAAAGGAGGAGGGATAATTACATTTAATCCACTGCTGCACACTTGACCTGAATGCAGGAGGACAGGTGTTGCTCTCATCCAGTTAATAAACAGATCTACTGGAGCATCAGGTCAACAGAGACTTTTGGAAATGGATTTGCTTAATGGGAATATTCCTACCTGGCATCTTTGTTTGTTGACATTTTTTCAAACTGTTTTCAAAGCAACAAATAATTTATATTTGCATAATTAATTGTTTTTCTCTTTTCTCTCTTTTTACCACAAACAGAAAAATTTTTTGGCGTCATTGGTGGACAATGGATATTATGTTCTCATTCAAGCATTTAATAGTTATTTCATGTTAAAGAAGTTAAATATTGTAAGTGTAATTTATTTAATTACCTTTAAATATTAATTTTAATCATTTATCTGAACTATTTTGTTTGTGATTGTCTTTAATAGTTGTTTTTAGGAAGATTATTTGTTTCTACATGTTGATTCAGGGATTCTGTCTCAGATTCACCCCACAGCATTATGCTACCACCGCCATGTTTTACTGCTGGTTCTGTGATCCTGTCACATTTAAACTTAACTCCTTGTCATTGTAGGTGAATATTTATATCCTCTGACCATAAAACAACTTTTCACCAGAATTGTTTTTGCATTTGCATCGTTTGCATAATTCCAAATTGTATTTAGATCTGAATTGATTGGTCGCTGGTGCTTCTTTCTCGGTCACCAGCTTCTCAGTCTACTGCAACAAAAAACGTGTTTCTTTGTGGGTTAGACATAGATATTCCAGGAGTATCCAGTTAATTTCAGGCTCTACAGTATAGTTAATAAAAACAATTCCCGAATCTTGTACAAAATGAGTTAATTCAACAAGATAATGATCCACATCAAACCTTCAAAAAGCTCTACCAGCCAGTTCTGCTGAGGAAACCATTAAACTAACCACTGAAATGTTAGAAACCACCTTCTCATGGTGATATCTTTGCTGGGGTGTACAATAATTTCAATGTTTGACTTATTGATGAACTTTATTGAACTGCATAAAAACGCAAGTCACTATTCTTTACAACCTGAAAGACTTCAGAAGTGTCAACCTGTGAGGGAGATTTGGGCAAATAGCAGCAGTGAAGGTATTTAAATACTTACAGTACAATCCAAGAGCTGGGAAAGCAGTAGGGAGAAAGAGAAACCACAGTCAGAACAAATGAAAGCAACAAAATGAGGGAAAGACTCTCAGAGCTGCTGCTCTGGTGTTAATCTGATCAGAAACCAGAGATGACTCAACATGTCGACACTGGAGCATCTGTTTAAAATCACAAAACACCGGAAGAAAGAAACAGAGAAAGAGGAACACAGAGAAATGGGGATCTAAGAAAAAACTCCACACAGAGTTACACGTTTGAGACGACACAACAAAAAACCAGGCGAGACATCAACGCCTGATGGCCAGAAAACGGATTCAGTCGCCCTGCAAAGCAGCAGAGCTCTGATTCATGCTCTACTTCGCAAACACTGACAGACTGTGATGTCTGTAGCAAAGATTTATGAGCTAGATCAGGAGTCACAAGTTGGAGGATGCATGACTGCAACTCAGAGCTTTCGGTTATGAATATCAATTGTTTTTAATCAGACCCCATTAACTCTCATCATGTCTCAAAATAATACTCAAAGGGTTCCTGAATATGCTGAGACGTTTAGGATCTGAGTTTATTGATAGGAATGTAAAACATACACAAGTATGTAAAAAACAGCCTCAGTTACTTGATACTGACATTTAAATTGACAGTTAAAAATAATAAGCAGTGAGTGAAAGAGCACGCACATTTAAAGTGTGGAAAATCTGGACACTATTTGAGATATAAGCATTTTTAACATTCAGTTCTACTGACCAGATTTTTTTAGTTCCATTTTTGATTTATAATTATTTATTCGGGGCAAATGCAAATGATTTCCTCATTTCATTTAAAAAATGCTGCAGGTGCATAAAATAAGTATAAACTGCAGCAAAAGCAAAGTTGAGTAAAAACAATCAAAGTGAAACAAAAGGACAAAATGACAAAAAAAAAAGATTTATAATAAGGCAAAATAAACGAAAGAAAAGGTAAAACTTTTATGTTTCTATGCTAACGTGATTAATGAAGGGATGCTCAAATCTGCAGTACATACTGGGAAGAAAAGAAATTCTTCAGTTTATGATTAAACCTTCGTAAAAGGAAGGAGAGCAAGAGGAAAGGAGGTGATAAAAACATATATAAAACACCTACAAGGCTGTCAGAGAAGATTTACAGCTTGTGGAATAAATTAAGATCATGGTCACTAACAATTTATGTCGCCTTTTTCTTTCTGCTCTCTGACATTCTGTCTGCATCCACATAAATAACAGAACGACGAGTCCTGTTGTTTCTATAATTATAGAGCCAGGAACCTTTGTGACAGGAGCAGATTAAAGACGGCCCATAATGATGTGTGAAGTTGTGTTGTTTAAATATCTCAGCAGATGTTTTATGCTATTGCTGTGTGAGAAAGTTCACTTTTTGAAGCACTGTAGGCAATAAATCAATAATATATATTGATCAATATAAAAAGGCAATACATTTACATTCATTGAACTTTGATCCAGAACCGCACAGCATTCTGGGGAATGTAGGCAGAGGAAAGACTTTAGCTGCCAACCCACGCTAAGCTAAGCTAAGCTAAGCTAAGCTAAGCTAAGCTAAGCTAAGCTACTGGCATCAACTAACTCACCCACTCTGGTTGCCTAGCAACAACCTGCTTAGTAACAGGAGCTGCAGCTTAATGAGCGTTTCCTTCATGCGCCGACATTTTGGGATTTTTTATTTATATTTCTCTTCATATCAACACATCAAAAGCTTGTCACTAAATATAACACAAATCTGCTGAAGTTGCTCCTTTTTATGTTACTTTCAAAGTTTTTTTAGTTGTATTATTAATGAGATTCCAGAGGAAAAGTTGTGAGCAGCAGTCAGCTCTCAGGATTCAGCTCTCAGGATCCAGCTCTCAGGATCCAGCTCTCAGGATCCAGCTCTCAGGATTCAGCTCTCAGGATTCAGCTCTCAGGATCCAGCTCTCAGGATTCAGCTCTCAGGATCCAGCTCTCAGGATTCAGCTCTCAGGATTCAGCTCTCAGGATCCAGCTCTCAGGATCCAGCTCTCAGGATCCAGCTCTCAGGATTCAGCTCTCAGGATTCAGCTCTCAGGATCCAGCTCTCAGGATCCAGCTCTCAGGATCCAGCTCTCAGGATTCAGCTCTCAGGATTCAGCTCTCAGGATCCAGCTCTCAGGATCCAGCTCTCAGGATTCAGCTCTCAGGATCCAGCTCTCAGGATTCAGCTCTCAGGATCCAGCTCTCAGGATCCAGCTCTCAGGATCCAGCTCTCAGGATCCAGCTCTCAGGATTCAGCTCTCAGGATCCAGCTCTCAGGATTCAGCTCTCAGGATTCAGCTCTCAGTCGCTTCTCTTTTACATTTCACTGAAATTATCTCGACTTTCTCCTCATGCTCATTTACCGAGAGCAGAGAAACTAAAACGTTGCTGCAGCTTATAAACTAAACAGTGAATCTGCTGCAAACTGTTAAAATGACACGAGTCAAAAGATTATGACAATATTTCCTTGTCATTTTGTCCTGATTTACAGTTAAATGTATGCATAAAATCATCGTGCAATAAAAAAAACCTTTCAATACATTTAATGTAATTTTTAACTATGTGGGGTCACAAAAATGTATGTAATTGTTGATAACATGACCAACACGCCTTCGCAGCTCGAACCCAACTGACCTCTATTTAGAAAACCCAGGATAGAAGAAACACAGAGAGGATGGAGACGAGCGCAAAGGATTCAGGGATAAAATCTTTTGACTGGTGAGACAAAACAGGATCACAACCCAAAACGCAGCAGAGAGAAGCACCATCAATGATGAGCAAAGATCTTCATCCTGCAGAACATCCACAGAGTTTCCACTAAAAACCCGGTTTATCCAGGAGGATTTCAAATCTATTCACTCTGTTCGAAAATAAACCAGAAGAAAATAAAGTTCAGCCATTATGTCCATAAAAAGGCCTCATTTCAATTGAGCTTATTGAACGATAAAATTCACAATTAAAATGAGCAATAATTAATAAATGTTGAAAGGATTGAGTAGAAGTATGGACTTATTAAAGCGCAACATTTCTACAGCTACATAATTATGATTTCTAGCTATTTATAAGTAATTTAGCAACATAAATATATTCAATTACAATATTCTCTGTATTACTAATAGTAACTCTACTACATATTAATTATAATATTGATGCTAACAATGCTACGATAACAACATAATATATCACGACAATATCCAGGAGTTTGATTTGTTTTAATTTCATAAAATGTTCCATATTTTCTCACCACAAAAACATTTTGAGGTTTTGATATTATAACCTTTGAACTTGCATTTCCCTTTGATTATAAACTCCTTCGTCTTTGGGAAACAAGCTTTTGAATATTTCCTGGTAAATGTTCATTTTGTGTTTTATAAAAGATGCAGTGTTAGTAAATTATCCAAATCAGTAAGTAAAAGTAAATAAAAGTCCTAATTTATTGTAACATGGGAAAAATTTCATTTTTTGTCAATATTAAGGAATCTTTTACTTAAAATAGGCTCCTATTTCTTGCTGAAAAGTTACTGTTAAGTTAGTTTGTCTTCTTTCAAGTGTGCTAAGATATTTTCTTTAAAACTTAGACCATTATTTGGTGAGATTTTGTGTTTTTGCAGTGCGTCAGATTGTCATGCTTGCTCCTGGTGTGTTTTCTGGGTTTGTGATGTGAAGCGGTTTCACTGGCTGCTCCTCACCGGCCGGGTTGGAGAAGTCCAGCACGCTGGTCGCCGGCTGCAGCAGGTCAGGGCTGCTTGACGACAAGTTTCCAGGAATGGGCATGATGGCGACGCTGTGACGACACTGTTTGGTGCCCACGATGCTGTCGTCCTGACTCTGACCCAGGCCGCCGTCACTGCGCAGAGAAATCAGAGAAGGCGCGGCGGGATTACAGGGATGAAATAACGGCGGCGGTGATAAAATTACTCTTTGTTATGAATTTAGAGGAAAGGGGAAAGAGTAGCAGCTTCACCCTGAGAGAATATTAACATATGATTCAATCAAAAAGTCCACCGGGGCGCAATGTCAAGAACATTCACAGAGATCATCTTTCTGAGATTAATACAGAAAGAAATGGCAACTGAGCACAAACATTCATGGGTAGAAAACACAAACTCACAAGACAACAACAAAAAAGTTATTATTATTTTTTTTATTATGGTTTAAATCATAAATCTGTTCAGATAAGATTTTACTGTGGCTTCATAAATGTACTCATTGTCCTTTAAGGAAGGAGCTGGAAAAACAACACCGAACCACTGTTACTGTGAATGCATCATATCAGTGATCAGATTTATTTATTGGACAATAAAAGAGGAGAAAATCTTACTGATCATTAGCAAAGATAAAGGTTTAAATAAAGTCCTGGATTTATTTTTTGTCATTAATATTCCTAAACACTCAGTATGTCTAATAGCTGGACTATTAGACACACTGTATGTATGACAGACGTCAAACATTTCCTCATTTTGGAATCGATGTATGGATTTATTTTGTTGAAACGTTGGGCTAGAGTTGCACTTCAGGCTGAAAGATGAGCGCGCTAACACGCAGCAGATTACAAAGAAACAAAAATGACTAAACATGTTTATTGCAAAAGGCTCAATGAGATCATTCAGAGTTCAGCAGATTATTTAAAGTATAGGATGGAAAATAACGTCTGGAAATACAAACATATTCTATTTTTAATATTGATCAGGATCTGGAAATTATGTGATTTTCATATTCAAATACAGTTTAGACATGTTTGTAGTGCAGATGAAGGTGAGTTTGGCAGCTTGTTGATCACATTGACACACATTTGGAGGATGGGGAATAAATTACACAACAAGAGCTCTTCTTACCCAAACAGGCCCCTGAAGCAGCAGAGACAGACAGATAGGAGAGAGACAACATTTAAAACGCATGAAAGGCAGGAAATTATTTGAAAAGAACAAGAAACTGAGCTCTGCAGAGGAGATGCAGCAACGCGTCAAAGCTTCCTCCTTTCTGCTCACAGCGAACAGCAGAAACAACAAATTACTTTTACCAAACTATGAAAGAAAAGTAACGACATGTTTGCTGAAATAAATGCAGAAAAATGTCAAAGTCACAAACCTATCAGGATTACAGTTTCCTTTGGCCGGTTTATCAGCAAATCACTATTATTCTCTGAAATGGTTACAGCATTAAATAAATGGCTTCACAATATGAGGAGACATGTTGAATTATTATCTTAATGGTCACATTAGTTCATAAACATTAATGACTTAAATCACTCAAGTCTTAGGAGATTTTTGAGCTGTAAATCTGACAGTAATGGATAAATATCGACAACTTTTAACATAAACAAGATTTTCTTTCACACTGAAAATCTGATTTTTTATTTTTATTATTTATTTACTGATGTTATTAATTTGATGATGTTATTATTATTATTAATTGCATTATTTTTATGTAAAAGAAATTTGAATATTGCATTAAACAAATAAATTGAAAGGGTTTTAATTATAATAGATGGTTTGATGTTTCTCCATTTTATTGAGAATTTTAAATTGGTTTGTTGAATTCGGTTTGAGAAATTATTAAAAAATAAACTGCACTGTAATGTAAATCTTTCCACAAACTGAAACAGGAATAACTTTGAGGTAACATTTTCAGATAAATGTTACCTACTTAACAGAGTCAACTTCCACCACAAAAATAAAACTTTAACAACTCATAATGCCTTAAAAAGTGGAAAATTCTAGCTTTTAATTTAAACTTCAAGTATTTTTCTGAAAGCAGACATGTTATTTTTAATTGCTCTCCATTTAAAAAGTTTTTTATTTCATGTATTGTTTGGATTTACACCCAGACACGAGCGCTATCACGTTTCCTCCTGATGAAAGGAACAGGCGAGTTCTTACCGGCCCCAATAACCTGCTTTATTATCTCATCCTGTCCCTTTAATCAGACGTCCAGTCCCCTGATGTGGCTTCAGTCGGAACAAAGGAGATGAAAATCCCAGTTCAGCTGATAAATAGATGGCAGTGCAGAACCTTTGAAAGCTGAGCTTGGATCAAACAGTCATCCGATGTTTGGTGTGAGACAGAAAACGTCGAGGTTTGATGCAAATGATTTACATCAGAGCATTCGATCAGCAGTGAGGAGGAGACAGGAGTGTGTGGGTGTGTGTGTGTGTGGGCGTGTGTGTGTTGTGTTGAGTGAGTTAGCTGCGTAATTAACAGGGTGAGAACAGGATCTGCTGTCTCTCTGCAGCGCTGCCGCAGCCTGCAGTTTAACCAGGCATGGAGAGAAAATGAAATGATGAAATCAAATCAAATCTGGATCGCCACGTTACGGGTGGAAAATCGAATACGGGCTCCTTCTGCACAATTGCTCCAGCGGCACGGCGGCTCGTTATGGCTGATGCTAACGATTACAGGATGATTATATATGTTGCTATTGTTTCACTTAAAGCTGTCTGTAAAAGACCAACTGCTTTAAAAAAGATTCTGATCAGAAGCAGCATTCAGCTTCTATGTACCACAAATCTGAGAAAACTTCTGCAAAATTGTAAAACAGTTTTTAAATCCAGATGAAAAACTCATCTGGTTAAGATGATTTTGAAACATAATAAAAGAAACACAAACTAACATTTTGATGTGTAATGATGTGAAATATTTCCATTTTTTTACTTTTTTTTACTTATACGGGAAAAACATAAAATTGGATTTTTAATCATGTTATCAGAGGATAAAGTTTAAAATTTAGCAATGCTAACACAAATCTTTCCACGTTAAGTCATGTTTTTGAGAAAATTGTTTTTTAGCAGTAAATTGTAGCTTCTTTTCTCTTCTAATCTGGATTAGAGAACATTTTTTTCCACTTCCCGCCGTTTCCCACCCAGTGTTACCTGAATGGTTTGGGCGGCAGTATACTGAAGCGCGTTTTCTCCAGCATCTTCCTGATCTTGTTGCGTCCCCCCGACACGGTGTTCGCTTTCATCTTCCGGGTGCTTTTGCTGTCCGTGGGAAACTCGATGTCTCCGGAAAAGTCGGCGATGGAGAAACGGTTGCCTTTCTTCTCCTGGATCTTAGGAATGTGAGGCCCACCGTTTTTCTTTTCGTGCATGATCCTGCTCAGCAGCTCTTTGAACACTGGAGACGGAGAAAAACCAACAATAGATATTGGTTTCAGGGCTTTTGAACTTCTTTCCACATCTGGAGCCGGGATGTCCATCTCATTTATATTTGGGGCCATAATGAGATTATGAAATGTCCTTAAAGGGCCGGTTGTGGTAAAATGTAAAAACCTCTAACAAACTGTTCAAATTTAAATAAATATTTGAACAGTACTTTTTAATACTGGACATAATTTTACACTGATTTAATTTGGCAGAATATGGAAAACTACGGAAGCATATTACTGCCACTGAAAAAGAAAAAATTCTGGCTTTAATCTTCAGGTCAAAATTCTGAGAAAAGTCTGAATTTTTACTGTTTTTCTCAGAATATCCTGACGTTTTTCCCTGAAATTCCCATTTCTGATATTAGAAAATTAAAGTCAGAATAATTCAGGCAAATTCTGAAATAAAAGTAAAAATTCTAACAAGATTCTGATTTTTTCCCCTCTTCTATTGATAACTGATTTCACCTGATTGGTAAAATGTTTTTTAGCTTACAATGATTATTCTCAAGGTTTTATTCACATCTCCTTTGGGCCACAGAAAACTTTACAGAAGACAACTGAGATGTGGAGTAAAAATAGGAGACCACGGTTGGTGACCACCAAGCTAAACCATTTTAAAAAACATTTTGTTCTATTTTTAGTTGTGGTAAAGTAAGAAAGCAGCTTTTCTCACCAAAGATGTTGGTTTTAACGGTGAGAGAAAGGTGTGTGTTATTTCGCAGGATGTCCACGGCTTTGGACAAAGCGATGTTCTCAAAGTTCTGACCATTAACCTCCATGATCTGCAACAAAACAGATTGAAAATAGATTTTATTATGTAAATTGTCACATTTTATAACATTATATTTTCTCGGTGGAAATGATTTGGCTCGTCTGCTGTGTAATCTGCTTCCATGACGGGTCAAAGGTCAGCTATGAAAACCAGAAGTCACTCTGCTCTTTGCTCCTGATATGTTGTAGGCGTTTCCAAGGTCAAAGGTCAGTCAAAAGTAAGCCACTCACTCAGAAAGTTACGACTGCTACTTTGACATGACTAAAAAAGTCATGACACTCTAACAGTCACAGCACTTGGTGTAATTATGAATAATCCAGATAAAGAACCGTCTGTACATCTACATCCTCTGTTCTGAGCTCTTTAAATGTAAAACTCTTCAGAATTTGATCCTCTAACAATAAAATCTACTTATTTAAGTGTTTATTTCATTGCGCCACCTCACCTGATCCCCTCGCTTGAGTCCGGTCTCGGCCGCTTTGCTTCCTTCTTCCACCGACTCCACAAAGACGCCGAATCCTCTCTCGCTGCCTCCCTGCACGCTGAAATGCAGCTGCGACTCCCTGGACGCCTTCTGCAGCGTGATCTGTCTCCACTTCGCCTTGGCTGCGCATGCAATGTTCAGCAACCTCAGATGACCCTTCATTTTCTGCCGCAGAGAAACGGAGACAACAGAATTATAGTCTGAAAAGCCAAAGAGGAGGAAAACTTTGGGTCTGATTTGCTCTTACTGATGTTTCTAGATGTTTCTCAAATTCCTCCAGGAAGCGCGTCATGGCCGAGTCGCCCTCAAAGTCGTTGAAGTGGTTATTGACCCAAAGCAGCACTATTCTCGTCACCTGAGTGAGAAAACAGACGCTTCATTTAACCTGAAGAGTTTCTCTAATGCTCAGTGTCCCTGCTGGTTTATTTAAAAACCTCAAGCTATTTGTATAGTTTGACAAGAAACGTGTTAAGAGCTCCAGTAGAGTATTTATAGAGCAGAGTGAAAGGTCTCTGCGTCTCTAGAGCATCGCGTTGGTTGCATCAGATAAACACTGGATCATTTAAAGCTCTATAAGGAGATCGCAACTTCAGTATATCAGCTGAGTTTCTGCACTGAGGTAAAATTTTTCAGACTTAACAGTAATTTACCTCAATCTAAGATCTAAAATATAATATTCACTCTGAACTGATACATGACACCAGCGCAGAATAAACAAAACTGAACGGAAATAAGATGGATCATAAAGGAGAGAAGAAACCAGGAGGGAAATGTTAAACTAGGAAACGAAGAAGGAAGAGAAGGAAGGACAGATGCAAGGAGGCAGGAGACAAAGAAGGAAAGAAAAAGGATACGACAAGGAAAGATGGAAAAACAGAAAGCCAAAGAAAATGAGAAAGAACCAAAAGAAGAAAATAAATATATTATAAGAGAAACAGGGGAGGATGCAAGGAAGGAAGATGGAATGAATACAGAAAAGGAAAGAAAAGAAGGACACAAAGAAGGAAGGATGGAAGAATAAATAGTGAATGGAGCCAAGAATTACAAAACGTCCTTTTAAATTGTCTTTGAGTTCATAATCGGAGAAAAAACACTAAAAAAAAACAAACATTTCTGCTACATTTGCACATCTTTTCCTGCTGATTTCACATTCTTCCTCCTGGATCCAGTTTGCTGATTTCCAGGCTGGATGTCAAAGTAACGACTATTGGCAGAACAACACAAACCTCAGGTTAAAGCATCAGGCATGAACCCATCAGCAGCTGGCTGTACCTGTATCCACCTGCAGGTAAACGGGTCCACACATGAAGCTGCAACCAGGGATGCCCAAAGTGTGGCTCCAGGAGCCATTTATGGCCCTTGAAATGACTTCGTTCGGCCCCTGACCACAGGTCAACAAAACTAAAAATTGGGCTCCATAGTAGAAGACAATTGATGAAAACTCTGTGTTTTAAACTTTTGCTTTTCTTTAACCAAACAGAGACTTTGTCAGCCTGAAACAGACATTTCTGAACAAAAAAGCCCCGACTCACCGTGTCCCGGTAGCAGTCCACCTGGAACCAGTCCAGCAGTTTCCTGCCGACGTCCATGGGACTGGACAGGAAGGTCCTGTAGGTCAGCAGGAAGTCCTCGATGTAGGTGGGGTCCACCACCGACGGCTCTTCCACCAGGTGCATGATCAGACGCTCTGGAGTTCCCTACAAACACACAGAAAGCTTCATCTCGATCCAACACAGAGAGCAAGCATTCAGGAGGCGCAGAAGGACGTTTTGTCACGTAAATCGAACCCAAATCCAGTCTGACTGAACTCAACATAACCTGAAAGTATTGACTGATTGAACAACATGTAAACCAAACTTTCCAGACATTTATTTGTAAAATCTTTAAGAAGCTGTGCTACTTTGCACCATGGAGAACCATAGGGCCATAATAGGAAAAGTAAAAATTATGAGATTATAGTTGCAATACGTAGAAAAATTTGAATAATTTAAAGAATAAAGTCATATGAGAAAGAAGTTGAAATATAGCAATAAAGTCAAAATAATATGAGAATAAAGTCATAAGATGACAACTTCCTGAACATTTTAAGGAAAGATTGCAACAATTACATAAAGACAAAAGATTTACACTCTAAAAACAGTTACACATTTAGCACTGCAAAAAACATTCAAGACGCGTCTCGTCTTCCTGTTTCAGCGAGTTTCTTAACCTCCCCCAGCGGCGAACTCTGCTGGAAACGATTTGTCCGACTGGGGAACAGAAACTCAGAGACGCAACCGCTTTGTGTCAGTCACAAAAAAAGAACAAAGTTAGAAAAGAGAAGCGGAAATGCTAACACTTGTGAATTGACTCATCCCCAGTGGATGTGATTTAGAGCCAGCAGCTTTCCTCGGGTGAGGCAGCAGAGAGAATCGTTCAGGCCCATTAGCTGATCAATACCTGGCAACGTGGCGATGGGACCAAAGGGCTTCAGCAAGCTGACAAGAAAATACTCCCGCAAACGATGAACTGCTAGCAACCATAATGATCAGCAACGAACACAGAGCACATGTATGTTTTTCGTGGGAGAAGCCAATAAATTCAAATGAAACGAGAATTCACATTCGATTAAAGACTTTGAGTCAAAATTTAGGTTAAATAGACCTTGGTTTTGACTTTGATATTCTCACATATATATATAAAAAACACCACTTCCTGACTGTCTTCCATATTATAGCCTCATGGAAAAACAGAATATGTCTCCAAAAGTGATGAGAATAATCACTGAGAATAATCACTGAAGGTGTGCAGGACAGTCTGCCAAGACGCCGACAGCAACACTGAAGGATTGCTAAAAGTTTGTGGCAACAATCTGCATAAGAAAGATACATTTGCTTTTTTCTCAACAAATATACAAAACCGTGTATGGGAAAGAGTCCAAACAACCAAACTTAACTTTTGTGCCAGAATTCAACCCGGTATATTAGACGCAAAATCAAACAAAACAAAAACAACAACATTGAAAGAACTCAATGGAGACAAGGTTTTCTTAGACAAGAGACGTCTCTCGGTTTTCTGTTCAAAGGTAAAATGATCAACAATTCGTACGTCAAGATGTGGGATGTTGAGATTAAATAACAAGGCGCTGCAGAAAGGCATTGGTTGGTAGTTTGCACATTTACCCAGTCATTTATTGTAGCTTTTTTAGTTTTCCTTTCAGTTGTTTTTCAGTAGAATTGTACATAATGTTGCTGGAAAAAGATTCAAGTCCAACTTTTTGGCATTTAAACATGAGTGCAGAGTTTTTGACAGCAAAAAATGGAACCATTCTTTCAGGAGACATTTTGGCACCACAAACAAACAAACAAAAACACAGGATCATAACAGATATTTTGGTCTAGTTTCTAGTTCACATATCTGAATACATTTGAAATAATAAAATCCAACTTAGACATATATTTTAAGCAAACATTCGCAACTTGTCTGGATAAATAATTCCTAAATATTCAGGAAAAAGTTCCAGTTTCATTGGAAAATTATTTCATTGTAAGAAGGAAAAAATATCGTCAGTAAAATGATCTGGCAACGAAACAACAATCGGGTTGCTAGGCAATGGGCTGGGCATGGTCGGGGTTGCTAGGCAACGGGCTGGGCATGGTCGGGGTTGCTAGGCAACGGGCTGGGCATGGTCGGGGTTGCTAGGCAACGGGCTGGGCATGGTCGGGGTTGCTAGGCAACAGCACAGTCCTCCGTGTGAAAACGCCTGTTGATGGATCCGGAGCGTCTTCATCAATATTAAGGCGTTATTGAGTCAATAAGCCTCCAGTGTTTGGATGAAACGTTACCGACATCAGAAATTAGAGCAGAACTGTTTGATGAGGTTCTGGATTTTCGCAGAGCGAGTCGAGAACCCGAGCAACAGCAGCACGACCTCAACATATAGTAACAGGAGAAGTCCTAGAAAAGTATTTGGTGAAACTCAATCACTGAGGAACGGCCAAATCATTTAAAAACTACATAATCAGACAGACTGAAATATAAACCTCAGTGGAAATTTTGGTAGTTTAAAGACCAAAATAACAATAATTCATATAAGTAACTAAAAATGACAAAATCAGGCCAAAGAAAATGTTTCCATATCAGCTTCATTCAATAAAAAAACTAATAAAAACTGCAGGTGTGTCAATCTGGAGAATTTTTGGTTAAAACATGTTTGTTTTTCTTTCAGTGGGTAGAAAATGCTAAAGGTTTACTCAAGAGTAGAAATCCTCAGAAATAAAACGAGTAAAACTAAAAAATAAAACACTCCTAAGAGTTACACAAACCTTGATGACAATGTGTCCCTTCCTGGTGCCGCTGCGGTCCAGCTCGCGGTGCTCCTTCACCATCACGATCTCCCCCTCCTCCTCCACCTTGTGCGTGTTTTTCTCCACGTGGTTGAGGATGCGCCAGTAATCCTCCTGGGCGATGCAGACGAACTGGTCGAGGACGACATGTGGACAGCGGGTGAACTTGTAGTAGAGCAGGAGATTGCTCTGCACCACGTTCGGATACTCAAAAAACAGCAAAGTGGATGCATGAGAGCCGGCGAAGTGAGGCATGGGAGGATCACACAGACAGAGGAAGGAAATGTCCAACAGCGGAAAGCTCTCGCTGATATAAAACTGAGCTGGGAGAAATGGAGGTCCAAAATCATCTCAGCTATTTGAACAAGAAATCGCTAAGACATGAGCTGCTCCTCTTGTCCAACTCATCAGTTTCTGCATTTGTCTCACTAACGTCTACTTCTGTAACTTCCTGTTTATGTGTAGTAAGGAAACGATATGTGCCGCAGAGGAACTAGTCAGTGTGTTCAAAGGGGCCTTCTGTGACTTTTCACATCGCCATTATATTAAGAATGTGTTTTTCTTTTGGAGAAGGTCACTCTAACAAAGAAACTGTTGTTACTGGTTTATATAAGCAACAAACTGGAGGAGAAATGATTGAGCTGCAGAGGCAGACATGAACTCTAAGAAGAAAAGCAGAAATGAAATCAACTCAACTTTGACATTTCTGCTCCATGACACACATTTTACTTTTTAGGCTAAAGAAAAGCAGGTCTAAAATTAAAATATTCAGTAGCAGTAAAAATAAATACTGTAGATAAATGACTTATTTTTGTGTGTAAAAGAGGAAGTGTCAATCATAGAATCAGTCTGTTGTTACTATAGGAAGGAGCAATCAGAGCCAGCTCAGGTTTTACTAATGTCAGATAATGATAAATTACAAGAAAAGAATCATAAAGTTCATTCAAACTCATGATAAAACTTTTAGTGAACGGAAGGAGCTAAAAATCCTTAAAATGTTAAAGCTTGAGGAATTCCTCTTCTCCACCCTGTGTCTGTTTGTTCTGCATTACCTGGCAGTCGTCTCCTTTGGTGCGAACTTCTCCGTTCATGTACTGCTTATCCAGTGAGGGCGAGATGCCAAAGCTGTTCCCCATACAAAGAGTCTCTGTTCGGCTCTCTGCATGGCTGATCTCCACGACTCCATTCAAGATCACATACCAGTGGTCGAGCTGCAGACAGACGAACAACAGCAGCAAATTATTCTGACTCCAGCAGCTAATCCCATGCAAGGAGCCATAATTGCTTCTGAGCACTGCTTTGTTCAGGTGTTCAACAATACACACATGTTGCTGTTTACAACCGGAAATTTCACACATGCACATAACACCAGAGGACAAAAAAGTTATTATTTTGCATGCCATGTGTAGCCGCCCCAGAACGACTCAGTCCACAGAATTAAACCTGGAGATGAGGGATTATTAATTTACTGCAGTGCGCCACAGCAAAGGCGGAAATGATACAGAACTGTTTAACAACTCAAAACTCATATTCTGCTATTTTCTTCGCTCTCTGCGTTGACTACGCTACACACAGACCTGTTGCCATAGCAAATGGAAATAACGTCACTACATATGTATCAACAAGATTCAACGCCAAAACACCCAAACATTTTGCACACACAGAAGAGAACATTCAGTCATTTACAGTTTTACGTTTTTAGGCCTGATGCTTATTTTGTGAGTATTAATAAGTGATCACTCTGGTAGCTTAGCTACCACTGCTATTAGCTTAGCTACCATTGCTGTTAGCTTAGCTACCATTGCTGTTAGCTTAGCTACCATTGCTGTTAGCTTAGCTACCATTGCTGTTAGCTAGGCTAACACAGCGGTGGTAGATTAGCTAATTTAAGCACTACTGATGATCTGTCAGAGTTGGTGATTACATCAGATTTTATTTTATTTTTTAACTGAACCAAAACATGGCAAATCCCGCAGCACAGCTACATGTTGAAGTTGTCATAGTCAAGCTAGCATAACTGACCTACTCCCCTCTCCCTTCCTTGAAATCTAGTTGTCGAAGTGTTAACGATTATTAGCAAAGCACTGTGTCATTTTTCTTTTATATATTACGCGCACATTTAAGATTTAGCACATTATGTTGACAACTGAACACCTAAAACCAATGCTAGTTATTGTTAGCTAGCAGCTTTTTCTCCAGCAAAAATCTTGCTGTGCAACGTGTCTATGAATGCTAGTGCTTCAGGGTTGGTTGTTGGTTTGTATCACTGCAGTCAAAACATTTATTTGTTGCCAAATTTGAAATGGATTTGCAGTATATTTTGGTACGAGCGCGTTATGTTTCTGAGTTATGTCTCCATAACTCTATTGCTTTTTAAATAGAAACTGCTTTACTTCGCTCAGGAAGGAGGACAAACAAACCCTGGGCTCCCTCTGCAGCCATCACTGATATTTGTGAGAGCTTCTCTCTTTCTCGGCCCCATCAGTTTCTATTTCTGTTGCTTTACCTGCTGCCCCTCGTTTCTCTGAGGTGAAATAGTGGAAGCAATCAACCACACGTAGAAATATATATAGCACACAAAAGTTGTTAACTAGCAACTCTGCTGTGCTATTTTTGACTCACTTAATGGATATGTGCACAAATAATTAGCAACCATGATATCACAAGTGAAAAAATGAAGCTATTTTTGCTTTTTTTTGTTCCTCTCAAGCTTTTCCCTGTTCTTTTCTCCTCTATAAACCACTTTATCCTCTTTATTGTGCTTTCGCTCTCACTCAGCCAAGTCATTTTGACTTCTGAGTGGAGCCAAGTGCCTCTCTTTGACATTCACCATGTGAATCCAGAGACACTGTGGAGGAGCGCTGCCCATCAATCGACCTGACAGAGACAGCAGGGAGGCACCGACAAACACACGGCTGTTCAAATACACATTTTTTGAGAGAGTCTCCAAGTTTACCAAGGGTGAGATCAATCCCCGTCGTCCTGATCTCAGAAATGCTCGATTTGATATCAACTTTCAGTCAGTATTATTCCTGCTGTGTGGAAGAAAACAGTCAGAATGGATCTGTTGCCTCTCAGACATGTAACTTAATTAATTTGCTTTGTAGCAGCTCCAGTGATTGGCAGTGCTAACATGCTGCAGTGGCTCTGCACACATCGAGAAGCAAGCACACGCTCCTTCAAACCTTCATTTCCTGCTTTTGCCTAAAATATGCTAGCAGTTAAATTATGGCTTATACTGTTGGTAGAAAACAAAATGTTTTCAACATTGCACAAAAGGTGTGTGGCATTCAGCATTTTTCATGCAAATTATCAAATGCAATATTAATATTAATATTAACATGTCCAATCCACATGCAGGTTTCCCAGAGGGAATGCTGGGAAAGTGTTGTTTCTACCAGCAGACGTATTTCAGAAGAAGCTGCCTGTTTTCCGATAATGTAAAAAAAAAAATACACATTTTTGACTGTGGCGTTTCAAACAAGAATATAGATGTGATTTTTTTAATATGGAAGAAGCTACAATGATTTCTATTTGAACGTCTTGTATGCTATCAGTTCCTTGTTGACGTAGCTGTGGAAGAAAATGTTTGTGAATTTTTGTGGGTGAATCTGTTTGTGTGGGCTTGTTTCTTAAAGACAGAAATCCATAAACTCTTTGCATGTGAGAAAATCCCAAACAATTGTTTGAGTTTTTTGTGTCTTGCTAGAATTTGAGATAAATATTCTGTGAGATGAGAAGGTGAAATCATTCCTACCTCTTGCTTGTTGTGCAGGATGACCGTGCCAGATTGCTCCACCACCTCAAACACCATGACGCTGCACAGGTCTCGCCGTACGGACATGGTCATGTTGGCGAACGCAGGCAGCTGGTGCAAAAACTCCAGCAGTTGTTCTGATTGTCAAAGAGACGAAAACTTTGTTAGAAGGGATCTCTGAAAGCTTCTGCAAAATTTGACAGTAAAACAACAGAAATACAAATATAGTGAAAACATCATTGCAGTAAAAATCTTACCAGGTAGTTTTGGTCTAGTTTCTTGACAAACATATGAGCGACCCCGATCCAAACGGAGCGACCCCGATCCAAACGGAGCGACCCCGATCCAAACGGAGCGACCCCGATCCAAACGGAGCGACCCAAACGGAGCGACCCCGATCCAAACGGAGCGACCCAAACGGAGCGACCCCGATCCAAACGGAGCGACCCAAACGGAGCGACCCCGATCCAAACGGAGCGACCCAAACGGAGCGACCCAAACGGAGCGACCCCGATCCAAACGGAACGACCCCGACCCAAACGGAGCGACCCCGATCCAAACGGAGCGACCCCGATCCAAACACAGCGAACCCGATCCAAACGGAGCGACCCCGATCCAAACACAGCGAACCCGATCCAAACGGAGCGACCCCGATCCAAACGGAGCGACCCCGATCCAAACGGAGCGACCCCGATCCAAACGGAGCGACCCCGATCCAAACGGAGCGACCCCGATCCAAACGGAGCGACCCCGATCCAAACGGAGCGACCCCGATCCAAACGGCGCGACCCCGATCCAAACTGAGCGACCCCGATCCAAACGGAACGACCCCGATCCAAACTGAGCGACCCCGATCCAAACGGAGCGACCCCGATCCAAACGGAGCGACCCCGATCCAAACGGAGCGACCCCGATCCAAACGGAGCGACCCCGATCCAAACGGAGCGACCCAGATCCAAACGGAGCGACCCCGATCCAAACGGAGCGACCCCGATCCAAACGGAGCGACCCCGATCCAAACACAGCGACCCCGATCCAAACGGAGCGACCCCGATCCAAACGGAGCGACCCCGATCCAAACGGAGCGACCCCGATCCAAACACAGCGAACCCGATCCAAACGGAGCGACCCCGATCCAAACGGAGCGACCCCGATCCAAACGGAGCGACCCCGATCCAAACGGAGCGACCCCGATCCAAACGGAGCGACCCCGATCCAAACACAGCGAACCCGATCCAAACGGAGCGACCCCGATCCAAACGGAGCGACCCCGATCCAAACGGAGCGACCCCGATCCAAACGGAGCGACCCCGATCCAAACGGAACGACCCCGATCCAAACGGAGCGACCCCGATCCAAACGGAGCGACCCCGATCCAAACGGAACGACCCCGATCCAAACTGAGCGACCCCGATCCAAACGGAGCGACCCCGATCCAAACGGAGCGACCCCGATCCAAACGGCGCGACCCCGATCCAAACGGAGCGACCCAGATCCAAACGGAGCGACCCTGATCCAAACGGAGCGACCCCGATCCAAACGGAGCGACCCCGATCCAAACACAGCGACCCCGATCCAATCGGAGCGACCCCGATCCAAACGGCGCGACCCCGACTCCTTCTAAGACTCCTCTTGAGTTTGCTCCTTCTGGGTTTTATCTGCCGAATGGTTCTGCAAGCATGAAGTTAAACTATGCAAATATGACATGCAAAAAAAGTCTTATAAAAACAGAATCTCAACGTCATGTTACTCTGAAAAACAAATCAAATTATGTTCTATGAAACTCCTTCATGCTGGTGGCTTGTCAGTCTTGGACTCACACCTTCAAATAAAGTGTTTCTTCATAATTAAATCAAATGCAACCCTCATAATGCTATTTTAGATTTATTTTCTTCTTTTAAACATAATATTCGTGATCTGAGGAGAAGGCTTTGGTAAAGGCCAGACCCCCGGCCGGCCCGGCGGGCACGCAGCAGGCCGGCCCTTTACCGCCGCGCCTCGCTCTCTGATGTGGTCACCTTCTTCTCCAGGACCCTGCTGGGTCCCACTAATGAGGCAGTTTAAGTGATTGCCTGCTTAAAAATACACATTAGAAGGGCGCTGTTGTTTAGATAGCTCTGCAGGGGGGTTTATGAGGGGAGGGCTCCCTGTGTGTTCAAGCTGAGCGACTGATGGTCCCAAAATAGCAACAGAGAGCAACAAAATCACACCAAATTCATTTTTAACAAATTTATAGATATTTGATCAGTAGGGCTGCACTGAATGCAGTTTTCTGGCCAATTCCAGAAGTAACTAATTACATTTACTCAAGTAACTTTTTTGAAAAAAATTTGGTGTATTTTTACAACACTGTACTTTTTACTTTGACTCTTTCATTTAGAAAATTCAAATTGATTAAGATTTTGGTCATTTGTACTGAATTAAGGGGCTAAAATCATAAATTGTCATAAAAACAACTTAAATCTGAGTAAACATTGACTGTAGGGGAGTAACTAGTTACATTTTCTTGAGTGACTTTTTCTGAAAAAATTACTTTTGGGAGTATTTTGTTTTTACTTTTACTTGAGTAAAATGTCTGTATTTGCTACATGAATGAAAAACAAACACGTTTTAACCAAAATCCAACGACACACCTGCAGGTTTTGATAAAGTTTTTTTATTGAAAAACAAAAAAAAGGTAAAGATTTTAATTTAAAAGAAGCGAATGAAACTGACCGATGTCGTCATCGTTGCGGTCGGCTGGGTCTTTCTCCAGACACTCTCGGACCACGTCCCGGCCCAGAAGTCCGTCCGACGCTCTCTCCAGGTCTTCATCCTCCTCCTCCTCTTCCTCGCTGTCCACTGGAGCCTCTGGAAGTCCAGACAGATCCACGTCTCCCAGGTCGCTCTCTGTGGCCTGAGGAAAACAAATCATCACAATAAGGAGGGAACTGCAGAGACAAAACCACCGATCAGCATGTGGTCGGATGAGATGCGTTTTTAACTGCTGCAGAACTCGAAACACAACGATCACGGTGGAAAAACGGCGCCAAAATTTACAAGTAGACATTTAATCTACCGCTTCACAACAATGTGCAATTATTAAATCAACTTTTCTGATTTTATTTGTAAAAACAGCTGCTTTCCATTATTTGCTGCTTTCTGTTGTTCTGTCACATAAAATCTAAACAAACTACATTAAAGTTTGTGTATAAAACATAAAAATGGTAGATAAAAATAAAAGCCTTCTTTATGATAAAAGTATAAAACTAAACTAGCAGTTAAAATTCTTTACATGTTGAATTGGTTGGAAATTTGAAGGTCAATGCATTTTGCCTGTGGGTGGAAGTGTAACACATTAAAAAAATCTTTTATAAAATCCATACTTCATGATAAAATACCCAGAATATTTACAGACAACTATGTTTATATCTGGAACAATCTTTATAACACAAGTTCAAAACTAAACTCGGTCAGAAGTAGCATCTAATCGACTTCTATGAATATTTTCAACTCCTCAGTTGTACCTGTGACCAGGAGTCACATGAGTTTAAAAGAGCAGCAACTCACTAAATTCTCATTTTCTTCCCTCTCACTTCCTGCCGTGAACATCCCCTTCACTGCCACTCACACCTGATCGCTTACCGCGCCGAAGTTCACCGACGTCAAAACAAGTTTCAGCTCAAAGGATATTTCCTCGACATGAATGACATCAAATCCAAAGAAAACACCTCATGTTGAAAAGAAGAAGAGAGATGTGCCAAGAGTTGTTTCAGAATGTAAACTAGCTGAGGGAGGAAAGGCCAAAAGTCCACAAGTTGGGGAAAAACAAACTTCTGAGGTTAAAAAGAATATAAATGCATGGGAGAAAGTGGGTAAAACAGTGACAGCTGAGGCGCGCAGCTGACTGGAAGGTCAGCCCTTTAAGACAGCTGTAAACAAACACGGAGCCGGGTCAGCAACAAGCCGATGGGATCAAATCCGTGTGATAAATACCTGATCTCAGGGTGAAATGATCTGCGCTCTGTGTTAAATGTCAGACCTCAGATAACCTGCTCATAAACCACCACAAAAATCCTGCAGCAGGTGGAAAAAAATAGCTTATTGTAACATTTTTGGTCTGTTTTTGCATCTCATTTTCTTGTTTGTTTTGCTTTTTCTGTCAATATTATGTTTATTTTCTGTATTTTTGTCATAATAAAATATTTGTTATGTTTTATTATATCAAATAAAATATGTTATGATAAAAGTATGTAACTGTCATTTCAAAAATATCTTTTTACATATTTGTTGAAACTGTAACTGTTGTGGAAAAAGAAAAAAAAGAAAAAACTGAGCTCTTCTTCCTACTGCCAGGACTGACTAGAAACAACCAATCAGAGCAAGGAGGCGGGTCTTAGCGCTGTCAATCAACCTCCATGATCATTACTTATTTGTAATGACTCCAGAAATCTGAGCTACTGCAGTTTTTTTTATCGATCATTTACATTAAAATTACGATGTAGTAATATACAAGCTATGCTACCAGTAACGTAGCGTAGCTTGCAATGAATGCTAAGGCTAGTTAGCACGAAGAACACTGATGGTTGATGAACAGTTCTCCTGTAACACTGGCACATTTAGCAGTAAAAGAGGTTGATTGACAGCGCTAAGCCCCTCCTCCTGGCTCTGATTGGTTGTAGTTCAGGTCAGAGGTGGACAAGAAAGATCTTTTCACAGATTATTTGTCTCATAAACTCTTAGTTTTAACAAATATGTAAAAAACATTTTTATAAAAGTTGCACCTTTGACGGGTTCTTTTTCAGAAAAATGAATGACATTTTTTTTCTTCCTTAATTGTAACCAGCTTTAATTGTAAAACAGATCATAAATCAGCTCAATAACAAAATAACCTTCCTAGTTGCCATGATTAAAGCTACCTAAAATAAACAACCTTGTGTCAGTAAGGAACTCTAAAATCCATTTATAAACACAGCATGGAGGGCGCGACGGCAAATAATTACGGTAAGCCTCGGCTTGTGGAGGCTAAAAGAAACATTCTTGGATTTATAACGGCTTTCTTCTCAAACAGCGGAGATTAGAAAAGTTAGTAGATTAAAACGATTAGATGACAGGTTTATTATGTTCTCTTTTCTCTGTTATTGACTCTCAGTCCTTCAGGCTCTCAAGAGAGGCTTGTGGAAGCACACTGAGCTGGAAAATACTGGAGAAATGTCACAAAGGAAGAGAAAGAGGCGTGCAAGGTGACCTCTTGTTCTGCAATGGAGCAATTAGGAGAGAAAAGAAACAATTTCAAAATTAAAGGAGACAATAGTGAAGAAATACCACCAAGGTTTTCTGAATCTACTAAATGCTCTTATTTTATTTGACGCAACTGATTGGAGAATTAGTTGTAAACAGAAACACGCTCATCAGAAAGTTGTCGGTTTCTTGTTTTGTGAAGCTTAAAGCTGTCGATACCATTTTCAGAACCAACAATATTTAAAATATTGCTTTGCCTTCTGAGCCTAAATGGTTATTACTTCATATTTAAACCATCAGTACTTCTTTACTGATAAAACAGTGAAGAAATAAAAATGTTGGTTAAATTAAATGATCACTTGGATGATAAATTGTCCCAGATGTTTTTGCAATAAATGATTGTATTGTTGTTTTGAATCCATTTTCAAGAAATATAATGGTAATGGGATAATAATAGATATTCTCAAATATCAATAAATTTAAATTGTAATGAACATTTAGCAGTGGAACTGAAAGACATTTTAAATATATAAAATAAACAGACAACAAATAAAATGAATGTAAACAAAAAAAAAGGCTAGCTGAGACCAAAACAGCAGATTAAAGAGTTTTATCCTCCAGTTTTTGGTAGAAAGATAAATCATGCAAATGGAAATTATTGAGTTCATTTTAATTTATCATGCGATTAATTGATTTATTCTGCAACATGGCCGCCAGTAACTGTAACCTAACCAGCGACTGGGTTACAGAACTGTAACTGGAGGAAAGATGGCGCTGTAAAAGGTTAGGTTTATTTCCTACACATGACCTTTAGTCCACAGCTGGAAGATCAGAACTGATGAGTAATAATTAGAAGGATTAAAGGTTGAGCAAACAAGTTGCTAATTTCAGCAGGGTTCATAATTTATTCCCTTTTATTTATTAATGGCGACATGGGAGAGAAGAGCTGATCATTTATTCATCTGTAGCTTTTTCTATACATGGGGAACCCACCTGATAAATGTCCGACAAGCTGCTGCTGCCTGAGTCGCTGGTTATGCTGCAGCCTGATTGGCTGGGCGCCATGTGCATCACCTGCTGGTGGGCGTGGTCCGTCAGGTGCATCTTATTGAGATCAGCAGGAAGCTGGAAGAAACGCACACAGAGAAGAGAGGATGAGTTTTCCAATATTCCCGGTGTTACAGAGGGAAAACACACAGATGTTGATCTGCATGCACACACACACTCATGCAGCGGTTTTCATCAGGCTGAAAGCCAGAACTGCAGAAAATAACTTCCGACGGCCGTAAATCAGGATCCAGCAGCTCGACTGATGTAAATCCTGACTGTCTTCCACACAGACAGAAACAAGTCGAACAGAAACTATTTGCAATCAAACGTTTCAAACATTTCTGGGGGAAATGAAGGAAAAAGCAGAGCCAGTCTAAAGCTTTCTACTCTCTTGCATTAGAGAAAACTTCCACTCAGACTCAGAGTTTGAAGTCGACTGACTTTTAAAAACATGAGAACTGCACTGCTGCAGCTCCTCCAGAGCATCACAGAGTCTGATGCAGTCATTCACTTTAAAGGTGTTTAGTTGATCCACGGTTCTAGTTATGGTCCTAAAACATGTCAAACTCAAGGCCCGCGGGCCAAATCTGGCCCGGCCGTAGCTTTTTATGTGGCCCAAATTACATCAACAAGGTCCTCCAGTTTTTCACAAATCCTCAAAACTCGTAAAAAATCAACAGATCTCCGGCGACACCAAGAAAACCTGCAGCACGTCTCCTCCTTCGCCACATCACACCACGGCGACCGCTCAACTGCCAACACTCGCAGCGAATACTGCGCATGAGACGCCTCATTGAGCCGAACTGGAGCCCAGCAGCAGGGGAACCGCAGCGGCTTCATGCAATATTAAAGACGTTACGTCTGGGGGTTACCCCCTCTCAGTGCTTTCCCCCTAACGGGTCTGATGTTCAGCTCACCCTGATGAACCTTTAAGCTTCACTATCTTCAAACCTGGAGGGAAACACCAGCAGACCGACAACGTTCATGTCATCAAAACCAAATTGGAAAATGGTCAAATCAAGTAATATAGTTTGAAAAAATATTAAATATGTCAAAGCTGAAAAGATTAATCATGATTAATCTACTACTTAAATAATTGTCAACTAATTTAGTAAGTGATTTATCGTTAACTGGAGAATATAGACTCATTATTTTAACAAAGGAATTTAATTATTCACTTATTTACATATTTTAATGTGTTTCTAATATTATGCAAAAAGTTGTGAGTGGTAAAACAAAACAATATGCTGATTAATCGATTAATCGTTGCCATAATTGATGAATTGCAGCCCTAAAATATGTTATTTTCATGATGTGAAGCACTTTGAGCTCTTATTGCCTAAATAAACTCAATTGATTGATTGTCATTGATTAAGGCAATACCAATCAGTCTTTAGTATACAGAATTGTGTTTCAGCATCTATTAAATATTTGTGGTTTTCTTCGATTCAGACTCTGATGTTACCACATTAATAGCACAGCTGAGGATCAGTATTGTAATTTTAAAAGCTGCTATTTTAACATTTTCGCTCCAGTGTCGGCTGTGGAACGAGGTGAAGGTCCCGACTGAAGAAGCCTTTAAGTGAAATCCATTTCCTATTAAGCACAGCAGAGCAATGCATTGTGTGATTCACTTATTGACCCAGAGACAACATGCAATCTTGGTGTTATTGATTAAATTACATCCAATCACATTTACACATCACTCCACTATTAGGCCTAATACTTATTGCTGACTAACTGCATGTTTACCATGTTTCTGTGTGAATGAGCACGACAGTGAATAATTGCTAATTTCACCAAAGCGAATGCATATCGATTCCTGTATGATGGAGAAGTTATGAGCCGTTCTTCCAATATATTTTCCAGTTCTGGGAGATGGAGCCTAAAATGGCAAACTGGTGCATTGAGCCTCATTCATGAGGTGAAAGTTTAACATTTGCTTTTTAAGTCTCAGAAGTCTGAAAGCTTTTGACTGCAACAGTTAAAATTATAATTCATGTTAATAAAAAGGAGACAAAACCTTCAGCCTCCTTTAAATAATGAAGTTATTTCTAAATATTTTAATTAAACTGTTCCGTATTAGAGGTGAATGATCATTTTACATTACTAACGGTTTGTTTAAAGACAAGTTAAAATCAGCTGCACCAAATTATGTACTTTTAAAAATAAACTTCTTAACAATAAACTGTTGTACATGTAGAAAAATGACTCCAGATCGATACGTCAGGCTGGTGGTTTGGTCTCAGACTTTATAATTCATTTTATTGGTTGTTTTTGTAGTTTTATTAATTTGTTTAGAATATTTAAAGTACCAGTGTTGAAATTTAAAGTTCATTGATTTTTGAGAACGTGTTCTTTGATTACTATATTGTTACCAAAACAAAAATATTGCAGATTGTCGCAATAACTCTGGGACAATTTATAACTCAATCACTTCTTACACCTTATAATTCATTTTGTTTTATTTATTTTGGATGTTTAATGTTCCAAAGTTTAAAATTTAAAATGTTCATGCATATTTATGCCATTACCAACATGACAATATTATCGATTATTGCAATAACTTCTGGGACGATTTATCGTCCAGCAACATTTGTTACTATGTTAACGAGTCTTTGGGTTTAATGCGTGTTTCTGAACTGAAAGGAAGACACAGAAGAGGAGTTTGTGTGTTTGAGTCGTTGGGAGTCAGGAGTGGAGTGGGGGTCTCGCGGCTCCTGTTCACGCCACAGAATTAATCCCACTCTAATCCCTCTCTTTCCTCTCCCAGGGGGGAAAGGGGTCTTCCACTCTCCTCATCCATTAAGGATGAGCGTTAGGAGATTAAATATAAATGTGTGCGGCTCCTTCAGCTGTACAATTTCATCATGTCAAGGCGGCGGCGGCTCCAATCATGGGAGGATTGAACTTTCACCGCAGCAATTATTAGAAAACCAGGTTAACTGCAGAAAAATGAACGTCTTGTGTTATGATAACACAAAGCAACTAGAAATGGCTATGAATGTAGTTTATGCTATGAGTTTAACTTGCAACATTAACAGTTTATTCCTGCCTTCATGTTAAATGCGGCGTGCAAATGCAGCTGGTGATTTTCTTAAGCCACCCACTAAGATATGATTAAATACACTGCGGTTGGAGCCAAACACAAATGATAGGAATTTAAGCGAAAGCCGGCTTTTAGGAAATAGCATGCTGTTTGCCATGCAAATGAGGGGTTTACCCTCCATCAGGAACAAAGAAAAAAACCTCCAACAACAGCTCTTTATCTAAGTCTTTATATTAGAGTACCATTAAACCAACTCCAGTCATTGTGACCCAAACAAACACAGTAACAAAACCTACACAAATGGCATTTTAAGGCTCGAAACCTGAGTGGTTCGTTCTGCCCATTCGCTCAGTTGTTAAATGGACAATAAAGCCCAGATTGACTTTTTAACCACATAACATTCTTCCCAAATGCATTTTGCTCAGAATAATATCTCCTGCATTCTGGGGAGAAATCGGAAACGATAGAGAAAACAAACAATGGGCGGCTTCCTGGAGCAAAGATGAAATATTCAAAGACATACAGCGAAGAATACACTTGCAAATATATTTCCATGATGACGAGCAGAATGAATAGCTTGATGGAGTAATGAAACCATAATGTGGCTGATGAATCTTGATGAGAATTATAATTAAAGTACGGGCAAAATAAAATAAAAAAACTGACAGATAAAACTGAATGAATATTTAAAGACGATGCAAAAAGCAACAAAACCGTGAAACTGTCATAAAAACCACAAAGAAGAACAAGAACACACAGAGATGCATCATATCAAATTCAGTCTAATTTATTACATTAAGAAAATTCAAACTGATGAGGTTTTTGGTCATTAATATCAAAATAATAAATTTAGTCATAAAAAAAACTTAAATCTTCCAAATGCTGACCAATTACATTTATTGGAGTAACGTCTCTGAAAAAAGTTACTTTTTATTTTGCTTTACTGGAGTAATTTTATTATGAAGTTGTTCTACTCCTACTTGAGTAAAACATCTGGATTTTCTACCCACCGAATGAAGAACAAACATGTTTTAATCAAAGATTAACGTTCAAGTTTCAGAAGTTTTTTATTGAAAGAAACTGATTTGGAAACATTTTCTTTTGCCCAATTTTGTTATTTTTTGTTACTTATTTAAATTATTGTCATTTTGCTTCTAAAAATACCAAATATTTCACTTTATAACTTTATATTTTGATCTGTTGATTATTTCTTCAGCAGCTTCTTGGACTTTTTACTTCTTCTTGAGTAAAAACACGTTGCTGCATCTCTGCTCTTACTTGAGTTTTGGTTCTCCACCCTGCTGGGGTCACGGCCGGGTCAAATGACACCAACAAAATTGGCCTGCAGGTGTCAGCAGTGACAAACAATCCTGACATGTCAAGCAGAGTCAAGATAATTGCTGATGGAAAAAATGGAAAATATTGTACAGGTAAAACAGGAGAAGTGAGTTTTATGTCCGTGTTTTTTTCGGTATTTCTCAACCAGTTTGTACACAAAGAGATTGATGTTTAATTTTTCTTCTTTGTAAAGCAGCAACTCAGTCAGATTGGATTTAGAGCAGCAGCTTAAGTTGAAGTCTTGCAACAGATTTTCAACTGGAAACAAGTAGAACCTCCCAGCAGATTGTGTGTTCCTGCATCATAATGCTGCCACCGCCACGTTTCCCGCTGCGGACGCCGTTTTCAGGCTGAGGAATCTGAAGCTGCTCATAACAATGCAGAGCACATTATGTACAAACAGATGCGTAGATCTTGGAGCCAAAGTTTGTTTTCTTTTCAAATAATCAGTGAGGTTTCTGCAAAGTCCACACTGGGATTTCTTAGAGCTTAACTACACTTCGAATCTCTGTGTTGATTTAGTTCTCACAGCAGACTGCACACCCAGAAACCACATCACAGCTGATGCACCTCTGCAGGAAAGGAACAATGCAGCTGCTGTCTCCCTGCACAGACGTCTCGGCCTTTCTCCGATACGCCACTTAACTCCGTCCCTGAATCAGATTTCCGCTGCTTTCTCTGAGGTGTG